CTATCGCCCAGCCCGATTCTCGGCCGATGGCGTCCCCAGCACCCGACGCACGTCTCTGTCTCATTCCCTGAGAGCGTGCTGTCGAGCGGTGGGCACATAGGGTGGGAGTCTACCTACATGGGACGCTGGCCATCCCATCGCATCTGCATTGCCGCTGCCTATCGGTACGAAGCCGTCCTTCACTATCTGTACTACCTCGTCAGTCTTCCTTATCCCGTTCTCCACAAAATGCTTAGCTGCCGAGACAGCGGCATCTCTAACAAGCGGCCGTCGTCGTCACAGCCCCCCGGCCGACAGTGCATCCATCTCCCATGTTCACTCCTGTTGCTCTGCTCTGCTCTGCTCTTCCTCCCTGAAGGATCCTCCTTTGCCACCGAAACATGCTTTTGCTCTGTTCAAACCTGCATTTGCGTCTCCTTTGAGACCCCGTTGCAGCCTCGGCCAGCAGCCACCCGTCTCACCAGCCCTTTTCGGAACCATGTCTTACCAACGGCAGCTACCCGACGACAGTTGCCTTTTTTTATTTCTCTCGGTGAAGGGTCCTGGAACGCGCGGGTGTCCCTCCCGGATGACGCTGGGAGGTGGCTGGCTGCCGTAGACTGCGGTGAAGCTGACCAGTCGCCTTGTCCCCCCTTTTCCGTCCCCGTGGGCTCACCTCGCTCTCCCCCCAAACCTTACGCTGGCTGCGAGCCAAGACGAAATCGTACATGTCGTGTCCTCGTTCACAGGCTCGACCCCGTGGGCACACAGTCACATCGCACAAAGATGCCCGGGAAAAGGTCCGATGCTGCAGGGAGGCTGTCGCGCCAACGTCGTCCCTGTCAAAGCTTTCCCTCAGCCAGTCACCTCCCATCACACTACCGCCATCACCACCCTTTAGGTTGCGGATGCCTTGGATGCGCTTCCACCTACCGCGGCCCGCTGCCCGTCTTCATTCATGCTAATCATCCCTGCACCGACCGGGTTGGCCTGATTGTGCGTCTGCCATCTTTGCCCCATTCGCATCGCTCCGTGCTTGGAGTCCAAGAGAAACATCCCAGCATGGTCTGTATCTTCTGACGGGAATCTCATCTGAACCACTTTATGCCATTCGAAGACCGGTGGGGCCGACCGCGATGCCTGGCGCATCTCGCGTCTGCAGCCAAAATATATGCGGTTGTTAGACTGACAACTAGACCAAGACTCAGATATCGACGCCGAGATGTGAACGACTCCTCTCATCCCGACCGGGGTTCCAAATCCGTCGCGATGCCTCACATCATGAATCATGGAGTGTGACGAGCCTCGGAGACATCTCCGACCACGTACCATCTCTTTCCATTGGCCCAACGCCCTCTTTCCTTACCGCTTCGCACCTCTTCACGCACCATACCGGTCGCGATGGAGTGAACCGCCTCGCTGCTCAACATCGCACCAGCCGCGCTCGTCATTGCTCCATCAGCATTCCCGGGTCAAGCCACACTCGTCCAGGTCTGGGCCAGCAGGTCTCCTTCGGCCACGGTCCAAATCCCCTTTCTAGACTGTGCATATACACACTCCTGTCCTCCCCAACATAGCATAGTAGCATGGCAAGGGTGTGAGGGTTCTCGTCCCCTACGTCGATCCTCCCTCAGCCTCCCATCCGTTGCTCTCGGTGCCTCCCAAAGACCGGTTCACTCACGACCAACCCCCCACCTCCATCACCCACCCTCCATTAACAAACAATGTGATTTCTCAAGTCGGCCGCCTGTTCCGTTCACTCCATCTCAAAGACATGTCCCTTGACCACACCCATTCACACAAACAACCCTGTCCTCGCAATCAACCAAACCGAACAATAGTTGTTGCCCCGCCTCCACTGTGGCGCCGGGTCGAGTGGCTTCGCGTACCGGCTTGTTTGTCCTGTTGTCCACGACGCCTGCTCTTCATCCTAATGGCCAGCTCTTTCGATCTGACGGATACGGAAATGTGTGCGATCGTTATCACTCGCAGCAGTTCGCAGCAGTCTCCCGATGATACATCCCAACGTTACAAGCACGGCATGTTGTCCAAGTGTCATCACTTGACCTGGAATATGATTCGTTTCCTCCCCAGCGGGAGATGCGGTCAAGTGGACTTGACATACATAGAAAGCAGACTTGAACTGAAGCGCTTACATACGACCACTCCTTACCCGTTTGGTACTAAGCGGCGGCCACCATGGCGGCCGCATGAGGGAGATGTCAGACAAATCACGGATAACCTCTGCGCAACCTTCCCGATCCTCCACACCACCATACACTCGTCCTTCCAAGCACCCCACACTCGATCTTCTCTCAATGAGTCCGAGAATCACCCAATTTTTCTCGTATTGTCTTTTTGCCCTGGACCAAACGAGGGCCGCGTGACTTTACCCCTTAGCTAAGCCGACCTTCTAACAAACACGCTACATGCCTTCGGCCGTCTCCAAGCCATTTCCCCATGTTCTTAACATTCGCCAGGACGCCACAGTCCAGCCACTGGGTTCCTTCGGTCATAGCCCTACAACGGCGCCATGTCAGACCTAGCAGATCCGCCGCCTTGGGTTGGTTTGGGAAGGGAAGCTCATCCAGAGTTTCAAGACGTTGATTGCAACTGCTGGACTGTGCCGTCCTCTCCTTTTCGAATGTCATCCGCCAAAGACGATCACCAGGGACCCTTGCCATCTCTCAACTACCATTCCGAATTCCGGCTGCTTGTGTTGAGCGAATGAGATGGCCCTGCCGTTGTCTTATGCTTAAGAGAAATCCCGAGCCGACTTTCAAACAAGCCACCGCGCGGCACAGGCCTTGAAGTGAGTAACGTGTCCCCCAAACAGGGAAAGGAGTGCTAGCAGGACGCCGTCTTATTGGTAGTCGCCATCCGTACACCCTCTTCTGTGAGATCGTCTTGCTCTAGATATCTTTGGCACATCATCCTGAACCCCATGATCCCCACCCACCCGTCCTTCCCGACGCGTTCCAGCCTGCCTCGGTCAGGAATACTATCCTTCTTTTCTCAGGTGGCGCTGTCCGGTAGTCTCGGATCTTGCCCTCTGCCTCTGAACGCGTGGTCTAAAGGGAGTTTCGTGTGGAAGCCTTTGCCCCAGGCTTTAGACCTATCCACTTTGTCCGTGGCGGCAGATTGACATTCCCGTGAAGCCGTGCCCGTCTAGAGCCCAGGAGCAACATTTCTAGCTCCGCTTCCCAGACCCTTGAGGCGTCTATTGACTTCCTGCCAACTCGGTGTGGATATGAGTGGCCTGACCAGAATGCAAGAACCCGGTGCATCTTGGCTATCGTGACATTCGCGAAGGCCTCCAGCACGTCTGGGCCATCCTCTTTCCTTGGAAGAGAGCCGCCGAGAACGTCTGCCTGAGCCCATTCGGAAGGACCTGGAGTCCCGTCATGTACTCATCATTCAAATCAGCGTTGGGCCTTTCACTACGAGTTCTGCCACGTAATTTGCTGCTTCTACGTCGAACTTGGATGCGCTATAGTGTGATGAGTGGCCTTCTAGTCGGATATAAATGCCATAGTGTTGCTGTTAGCTACCTCGAAGCCTGTTTTATGCGCAAAGTCTATGGATGTTGCCCAATCACGGCGCTAATTACCCACAGCAGCAGGTCAAGCCACAATCCCATAACCTTGGGGAATCCAGACGGGCTGGGCAGCGCCTACGCGGTCGTGGGTACAACGCCCGTTTGTCGAGCAGCCGGGGGTTGTGACTTGCCATGTGACTCGAAACCTGCGGCCAAATGGTGTGGATGGGTGTCTCAGAGCTCTAGTCTCCAGAGCGGGGACCCTCGACGCGTCTGGATGGGGCTGGGAGCCGCTGCTGCTTCGTATCGCAGACTGACATCCTTTATCGGATTCTACCTCAACGAGCTGTTTCTGCTCCCTGTTTTTCGGTGGCCCATTTGGAATCATGCCCCCGGAGGCAAGGCAAGGAAGCTGCCGCCGCGACTACATCAGACCTGATCGGATAAGTATCTACTAGTCTGACAGGACGACAATGCAGCAAAAGGTCTGGAGGGTTGGAGAGTTTGGGGGACTACGTCAGGAACTGGGCAATGCAGCCTTGTGATTTGTCACGGCGACTGTTTGTGTTATGATCAGCTGGACGCGCGAGAATCCCCAGGGAGGTTGCACAGTCTCAGCTGGGTGTCGTTGGAAGTGGACTTTGCCCACCTCAAAGACGTCCTAAATATGCGACTGCTCGGACGCACAAGGCTGGCGAGGCCTTTTTTTTCGTGTTGTTGTACCGCAGAGGTACTGTGGTGATGGGAATGATCGTGAGGGAGGTCGCGACGGGACTGTGTAGAGTGGCATCGGCGGAATAACATCTCCTAAGTTCACCCCTTCTCTCACAAACGTATAGGCTGCACTTTTGCGATGCATGCCTGGAGGAACGCATCAGAAACGGGGGCAATACGAGGGCTTTTTGCCGTGGTGAGGCCTCATTCTGTCTTGTGGGCGGAGTTACAAACCATGACCATAACCGCGAAGAACCCCTCATCTTTGCCACTCCTTGTCAACTGGTGATGGGCTGGTGAGGGGGCAAGAATTCGGACAAGCGCTATTCCAGACGGCAACAGCTGGAAGGATACTCCAACTAAAGGAAGAGGAGGGAGGGAAGTCATTGCGCAAAGAAGATCTTGTACCAAGTCCTGAGCGGGATCTGAAGTTGGAGCTGCGTGGGAGTACTAGACCAGCGAAGATGGATAGTGAGGTCTTTTGGAGAATCTGAACCATGAAATTATTTTTTTGGCACGGGCAGCGGTTGCATGGCAGCTGTTTTACGTATTGTCAAAATTCAGAATCACCTCATGAGCGGTCCTTATGGTAAGATTGTGGCTATCAATTCCAAAGACGAGCTCTGCCCGAAGAGGCAAGGAATCTCCTCTTGCTTTAGACGGAAACCGCGGGGTCGCATCATGGATACAGACAACAGCTCAAGATTTCTCCCATTAAGAAAAGTGTAAGTTCAAGTTACGCTGTCTTGTATCTTTAGCAGTATCACGGCTAAAAAGCTTGATATGCGTGCTTCTCCCTCATGGCTTGACCCTTTTTCATAACGAACCAGGGAACTGGTGCAACGACCACCGCCAACGCAGCAAGGACAGTGTTTTCCCATCCTAGGCCCAAAGTAGCATATAGAAGAGATCCCACAAGGGGTAAGAAAGTCGCGAAAATGCCACTGACTATCGTTGCGGCAGCAAGTGCAGAGGCAGCATGAATTGTAAAGACTTCGATAAAGTAGGACGTAAGAGGTGTCTGCGTCATTGTTTAGCGACTTCAGATCTTCCGTATATACGACGACCGCATCAACTTACAAACACAAGCATCACGCCTACTCCAAAAATGGTGGAACCCGTCATCGGCGCCAGCCAGAAAACGGACTTCTCGGCCGTCCACCCGTACAAGAGCAAACCTGCCGGAATCAGAGGCACGGAATATGCCATGGCAGTCAGACGAAGTTCAGGTCTCCTGGCACCTGTCTTGAGAAGCAGGGATGCCGCAATTCGGTCGCTCCAGAGTAAATCGAGCACAACGCCCACTATGATGCCAATGCCGACACCCAGGAATGTGAGACCGGAAAAGCTGACTGAAAAGCCGTATTTGCCGGTAAAGACTGCCGGAAGGGTTGTAAAGAAGAGGTACTGGTGGACATTGGTCAGGTGCTGGAAAAAAGGGAAGTGTAAGAGAGAGGATGCTCACGAGGTAGCCGTATATGACGGCAAAGTACGACGAGAAGGCAAGGACGATTGGGTTTAGTATGAGAAGTCGAAAGGGCCTCTTAATGGCTTTCGAGAACGCTTTGCTTGGCGAGACACCAGCGGCCAATGCCGAGAAGTATCCCAGATCTCCAGTTCTCTTCCTGACTTTTTGCGCTCGCCTTTCAAGCAATATTTTCGCTGATGTTTCTCTAAGAAAGAAAGACGTAGCAATGCCGATAACAGAAGCCTGGATGTTTTTGTTAACAGTTCTGTCTATAACCCATGTTCAAATACAATGGGTTAGGGTTCATTTACCACTATGCACAGTGACCAGAAGATCCACCGCCAACCAAAGTATTGGGACAGAAAGCCTCCTGTGACGGGTCCAATAACAGAACCCAATAGTAGGGCGGAGGAATACACCGATACTGCCCGGCCCCGCCAAGCCGGCAGTGCTACATCGGCGATGGTGCCGCCTCCGATAGCGAGTGGGGCGGCACCGGCAGCGCCGCTTAACAACCGGAAGAGGAGGAGAATGCCGAGATTGGGTGATACAGCACAGGCTGCGTTGCAGGCAAGGAAGAAAAAGATCGACAGGACGTATACTGGGTACCGTCCGTATAACTCTGACAATGGTGCTGCTAGCCTGTTTGTCTTCAGCATGTATTCCTCTAGACGAACCCGGCTCTTGTTGAGCGCTTACACTGTACCAACGACAATACCCAAGTTGAAGATAGACACGACGAGGGAACTCAAGACACCTTTGGGCGCCTTGAAATCTCTAATGGTGTCTGCCACGGCCGGAGCAGGCATTGAAGACGCGATTGCCCTAGAACAACACATCAGCACCTGCGGGACGAAGGAGTTTGTCCCTCGAGAAATAAGCTACTCACACTTGTAGGGTCAGAGCACTCACAAGAACAATCTGCACCCATCTTGACTTCGCCGTCCAGTGCATGGGATTCTCGGGATCGTGGGGCTTGTTCCAGTCAACTACATGTAGTGATTCCTTCTCCGATAATGGAGGTCGATTGCCCCAAGACCATGGGGGGGAGTTTGGCGGTTGCGTCGATTCGTCATCGTCCGGAATACTACTGAACGCCGTGCCCATGTATAGGTTCAACTCATCGACCGGCCCCCATGGCTGCCCGTCCGCGCTGAGCCGGAACCATGAGAAGCCAGAGGTTCGCGAGTGCCTCGAGGAGTCGCTGCTTACTCTAGATCTCCTTCCCGCTGTAGCCACAGGCTCTGGATATCGTGGTCCCTCGATATCTGTTGCCGGTGGTTGTTGTCGGAGCGGAGTCATCGGGCGAAGGTTCCATGCGCCAACAGCGTGAATCGTCCCGCACAACAGCTTAACACAGCTTGACGATTGTTTTCCAGAGACGACGGATGCGGAGTATTAGCCACTTTCAGAAGAGTGCATTGTCTGGATGATATGTAGCGGGAAAGCGGTGCCGGTGGTTCGAGCTCAGTCTCTGAGCCACCAAAGTGGTGGGCATCCTTAATGTCCATCCGTTTCAACGCGGCACACATGCTACAATAATACTGTCAGTATGTTGAGAATAGAATGGCGTTGTTCCTGAGATTGTCTGTATGTCTGCGTGGCCCCACCAAGCCCATTTGTCCGGTGCCTCAGATAGATTTGTTGGCGGGTGTCGCGTCGGCGGGTGGTGGCAAGGATGCGGGTGCAACCAAGAGCACCGGCATGACCGAGGTGGGTGATAGTTGAGCGCGTTAACGGGCTGTGTACGTCACCCGTAGATCATGCGGCCTATGCCGGTTGATCTAAACATCAGTTAAGCAGGGTGGCAGAGTGCGTACTACGTATGCGTTTGCTCTGGCATTTTCAATCGGGGCACAAATACATGAGTCACCTTGATATCACTCTTTTCGCATTACTTTGCGTCAGCTTGGGTATGAACCCGCTGCCATGAAGGTGTCTGTTTCTAGGCCCCTGTTTCATGTCGTCCGAGAATGACCAGCATATTTCGCCTTCTCCTGCTCCGTGCCTCAAAGTCTAAACTGGCCCCAGGCTCAAGCGAGTTGCTACTCATTTATAATTTGCAGTCAATATCTCTCTATTTATTGGACAACTCAATATTCGGTTCAAAGCTGTGGAAGGATGTAACTTCTTGTGGTGTTCTTGATAAACTAGGTGTCGAATGAAATAGATACAATAGCTAAGTTGGAGCGCCCCAAACTATCATTCGCCAAGCATTGTGGTTACACGAAGTCTACAATAGCATCATCAGGCGAGGTTAAATGGAATCAAAATTGCCAACGGCAGGTGAAAATGCTGGGAAGCGGAAACAACTAACCCGTCGCATAGGCGATAGACGTGATGTTTCGATAACCTGTCAGACAAACTGCCAAATGCATCAGTTCGAATTGAATAACGTGACCATTCGTAAATGATTGGTCTTCAGGGGAAGAAAAGAAAAGACGCTTGTTGAACATCGGAAAATCTTTTACGTACAGAACAAAGCTTCCAGGCTATCCGAATTTGGGTGTCTGAGATGTATTAGACGGCAGTCCTCTCGACTGAGACTTCAGCTATGCTAGTCATGCTTATGAAAGAGTCGGCATAGAGATTATATATTCCCAAATGTCTGAGCGAGAACTCTTAACAGTTATTAATAAGTTCGGGTTGATGTGATTCGAGGCTTCCTCGATCGCTTCTTGTCACTTTGCTTTGTCTTGGTGTCTTGCACCATGTAGTCCAAGCCAACTGAAGCAGAACCTTATATTACGTTAGGTATATTTCTTCTGCGACTCCACAGAAAGGTTTGAAAAGGGTTTGGAAGAGTGTTAGATACGTCTTCATCATTTTGCTAGATGATGGTGACCGAGGGTAATTGCCCCTTTTATTGCAATGCAGAAGCTAAGCTTTATACCGAAATCCCATGACAGCTCTAGCAATGATTTGAATTTACATAGTCATTGATTCGAAGATCAAAATATTCCCAAAGATTTTGTTTCATTGTAGGTCTAACAACTTGCCACATCGTCAGCATAACTTCTGCCCTGTTACGCTAATTAAAGCGAGTATTGCCTTGAGCTTCCTGACGGCAGATGCATTAACTTTCCGGGAGAGTGGGAAATCCTCGATCTGTGCGACTACTTGCTGCCGGCACTTAACAGCCCCGAGCGGAGTGCATGATGACGTAGCCAAGTGTAACAGGAAGTTTGGGTCTCTGCTGCAGAAACAACAGAGAGCAAGTCAAGTCCTGCAGGCAAACACCCTTGCTGGACGCTCTCTATGCAGGTTTTCGGACGTCACAGTACAATATAGGCAGTCCTGGCGAACGGATCCTTGCTGTTTGTAAGGACTTGTTTCTTCAATTACATCTGAATGGCGGGGGTTCTCAACCACCGGCAACTGGCGGTGACAAACCCGCGGCACGGCCCCAGTGATGGTTCCGGACGGAACAGTTTTTAAGGGTATCTTACTGGGGGAATTGGCGGACCCGGGGGCCCGGACCGGGGCGTACGGCATTGGGCAATTTCTCCGTCCACAAGTTTGCTCTTGGCACTTTCAATCAGATAATGTGACCTTTTCACAAATACCATCGCAGGATCCTGATTAGATCTTGGCAACGTGGAGTCATTGCTCAGGAATACCACACCAACACAAGATCAAATCACGGAAAGCCACCATTAAAGGGGAAATAACTCCAGAGACCGCCCTACTTCCTCCACTCCCCTTTGACAATGCTCCTCGACCATATATTTGAACGCATAAGCTACAATACCTGCCAGAGTACATGATGTGATTGGATCGCATATACGCTTGCTGGCCCTCTTTATCGCATTTTCTATCAGCGTAGGATTCGGAAAGCGTTTAAAGGGGATGTTCTTGAGGCTTCAAATGATGGGGACATGTTACCATAAGTCCACCAATGGTTTATGCATTGGGGTTCAAATTTGATATGCTTGGCTAAAATGAAACTTTACATTTCTGAACGTGATATCTTCTGTCGAAATTGTCTATATAACTGTGAAGCCGGCACCCTCGTTCAATGCCTACTGGGTTGAAAGAGCAGCCAATCGTCTTTACCCAAACCGGGCAACATTTCGCTACCATCATCAACTTCAACCTTTAATCGGTAGATACAACATTCACTATGCACTTCTCCAAGGCTGGGATCTTGACCATATTGGCGGCCCTGCCCAGCACCCTTGCCTGCCTCGGCTATGAGGGCGGTGTTCCTACTGCTACATCCACCAAGACCAACAGCAACTATATCGAGGTCAAAGCCGGCCAGGTCTACGATGGCGGTTGGGCTAGATTCGATCGTGGCTCCGGTGCCTGTAATAGCGGTGAAGGGGGTGAGACAGCTCTTCAAGTCTTTGTTACTGAATTACAAAAGGGACCTCCGGTTGACGGTTGAACTTGCCAGGCCAAGCTGATGCTGTTTTCTTGCTTCGTCGTGGTGCAACTCTGAAAAACGCCATTATTGGCAAGAACCAGAAAGAGGGTGTCCACTGTGACGGTCCTTGCACCCTTGAGTTTGTCTGGTTCGAAGATGTCTGCGAGGACGCCATCTCAGTTGTAAGTAACTACTTCAATGGTGCATTACTGGTTGCAGATTATTAACCCTCAGCGTAGAAAAATGACAAGGCTGGTGATCACACCTGGATTATTGGCGGCGGTGCCTATAAGGCTGGCGACAAGATCATCCAGCACAATGGCTGTGGTACCGTGAACGTGAGTTGATTATGATTCTGTGTGACGAACTACTCCTGATGTACTCATTACAGATCATCAACTTCTACGCCAACGACTATGGCAAGGTCTACCGCTCTTGTGGCAATGTAAGTGAAGACTAGATCCTGCCAGTTGATGGGTTATGATGGTATTAACCCTATTTCAACAGTGCAGCAGTCAGTGCAAGCGCAACGTCTACGTCGAGGGCGTTACGGCGTACGGTGGTGGCGAGATTGTGGGTATCAACTCTAACTACGGTGATACCGCCACCCTCAAGAACGTCTGCACCGATGCCAAGGTCAAATGCCAGATGTACAATGGATGCGCTGGTGGCTGCGAGCCCAGCAAGTCCGGCGTCTGCTCCGGGTAAAGCAACTTCGATAGCAAGCTTACGGCCCTGCTGTCTCACCAGTCACGTCTCTTAGCACCCAACGACAAACGTCTGAGCGTACTATCTTTTCAAGTTAGAAGTCCTGGTTCAAATTTCTTGCACATATCAGTTCGTTGGGTTGGCCTCTACTTGGTGCGTACATAGTCTTATATTGAACGTTTGAACTTGAATCTGCCTATGTCTTGAAGATGCGCGAGATTTCTTATGTGTTAAGTCGTTGCGTTAAGTGAACTGTTAACAGCTAAGGCCGTCTAAGTGTAATGGACGAAACCAAAGTAAAATCTCAAATCAGCCAACAATGCAGCATTATCAGAACATCCAAAGACTTGTGCTTCTAGTATGTGGACCATTGGCAATAATATACAAGACTTCCTACGGAGTACTTCGCGCCAGTCTTTGGCGATTACTCATGGTAATCCCAAAGTTCCCATTGGCTTGTCTGCCTAACATAACCATGCGCCGTCGACTTCCCGGTCATATGCTTGAATAGCTCCTGCTTACACATATTAACCCTACAATAGTTTGAAGCAAAGTCAACGGTGACAGTTCTATTGAACAGAATTAGAATCATAGTTTGAATGTCATTTGTCCACGAGTGCCTACAGGTTGCGGTTAACTTTTCTGTTATGGTTCAGCAGCGTTTGGAGTCAGAGATTTGGCTTCTCTCCAGAGACCCTAAACTTTATGCTTCCGGGCCTACATATTCGAGTAATGCCGCTCTTTATTGGTCTGAGGGTATTTAAAAATCAAACAGGTCATTTGACCAAAATCTTACCTCCTTAATGAATCTTGGCTTTCACCGGCAGAGGTCGCCGGCTGTCCCACGAAGTGACAATTGGCGGACACATGGGCATTTGCAGCAGTTTAGATCGTGGTCAGTAAAAAAAAGAAAAGGAAAACAGGGTTATGCTGCTGGATGTGTGCGTATATGTTGGTCACGCCAACAATACTTCCAGTTCACCCGGTGATACCATTCGAAAAGCCCGATAGCCTTTCCGAGTTTAATATCATTACAGTCACACCTTGAGGCAAGAAAGCCAACATGGACGCACATAGCACAACTACACAAAAGGCACTACCTGCGCTATTCTGAAGCCATTCATTTGAAAAGTCTGCCAGCACGCAAGCTCAAGGTAGTAAGGTGGTGAACTCCTAAGCGTAAACTTCAGCAAAAGACCGAACAAAAAGTAGGAAAATTGACCCACCGAGACTCCAGGCGAAAATATGCTTGAGAGACATATAGAAACAATGTTATATGTTCTGAAAGAGGTGATAAATACAACATCATGCTTCGCATGCTAGTAGTAATGGGCTCAACGATCGAAACACCACACACCATAAGTCTCGATTGTACCGCAGGAAAATTCTTCCCGTTTGGGTGCTATATTGGTGACTGGGATGACGTCTGTGGTTGTGATAATCTATACAACCAACTAACAGAGTGATGTGAAAGGGTCTATTCATATATGGTAGAACTAGATATGTCTTTCTTAGCTTGCAACACGGAAGAAGATCTGAAGTTCTCAAAGGCTTCTAGAAGCATCTTCAAAAGCTATGCGAAGGTCTGTATGAGACCGCCCAAACATCTGGCATTATACAGTTTAACCTAGGTGCATCATGCTGTCATTCTGGCGTTGATATGTGGTTTGAGAAAGAAGAACAGCCTCTTGAACACGCATCAAACATGACTATCCATGTCATTACTTGCAGGGGATACCGCCCCGCTCTCGAAAAGCAGCTCTTAACTCTTTGTTATTATTTACGTGATATGATATAACCTGCAAAGCAGGGAGAACCTTAGAACTACCGTAAGAGAGAGCAGTAGTGAAAAGAGTATCTCAGTGACCATAACACTATAGGCAATTGAGAAGAGCGCTATCTCTGAACAACGTGTTTTCCTAAGCCCCTCAAAACATCATCGTTACCTTATGAGAAACAACTACGTCATAATATTGGTTTGGGCTAAAACTGTTCTCCCTAACATGTAGATGTATATGAAGCTCAGAAATAGACAAGCAGTAAGGGCGCAATGCCCTCAAATGTTTAATGCACCACCTAATGTGAACACAAACGACTTAATGGTGTGATTGGATTGATGTGCTTTCAAACGGCTACGACCCGGGTAATGAGAAGTGACAAGGATTTTACCCGAAGGAGGGTTCAGACGGAGCTTAGTCAGAATTGGATGTATTCAGTTTCCTAAACAGGGTGGTCTATTGCAATTTGATTCGAGCGCGTGAATTGTCCACCTCGGTACATCATTTCTGCGATGTAACGAGGACCTTATTGTAGAGAAACCAAACAATGACCAAGCCCACTTCCAACTTGAATCTCTTTGTAACCAAGAGACTATTTGCCGGCAAATACGAGCTCTTAATGCTCCTCTTTCCAAACCCTTGACGGCACGTGGATAATATCGACCATATCTGGAAGGTTCTCCACGACGAACGTCACTGCGATCTAGGATACCATTCAAGTTGCCGCCATGTCAGATCTGCTGCCAAGGACTTCCATGCTTTGCCCAACGTCATGTCGTTACTAGTGGTGTCCAGCATGTGAACAATCGCCCTAATCAATTAGGTTGGAGCCTCTGGTAATATATTCAGCAAAATCACTCTGGTAGTAACTAGTCTCACGGAAGAACATCGACGACCGGCGCGCCGGTCTCCCCAGTTATTTGTACCTGGTAAGCAATCGACATACCTGACTCGGGCGTGTCGTATCTCAGCCTGTCCACCGGCTGCGACTTCCCCGCAAACCAGCCATCAAAAGCCAGGTTGCGCATCACCACCGGCTTTCTTTGGGACGTGTGGGGTAGTGGAAGTGCGGAGAAGCAGGGGTGTTCGGGGTAGCTCACGAGACTATCCCAAGCTCGAATGGTTCCGGTGCAACCGTTACTATGACTCTTGTCCTTTACTGACGCGCTTGCTCCTTGGAGGCAACTTGCCCATGATCCGCTGTTGGCACGAGGCTTGGGTCAGAGCAAGAGGAAATGATCGGCGATTGGGCTGGCAGAGGCCGTGATATCTCGCTGAGTACAACCCAATACGGCCAATCAATGTCTCGGGCCGTTTGCTTTGCCTTACCCTGACATGTGGCAGACTTTAGACTAGCTGCGTATGTCGGGCTCGGGAGATAATCGCCCATATAAAGCCAGGTAGATATCCCGGCACGTTTACTACAACATGATGTGCCAGTTGCTATCTCGTGGATCATTGGTTAGGCCCAGCCATGCATTCCTTTTGTTTTTGGCTTTCCTCCGCACTTGCCCTTGTGGCGACAGTGCAAGGTCAAGGAAACACCAGCAACGCTGAGAGAGTTGATGCTGCTCTTGCCGCTCTTACTGTTACCAACCTTGAAGACGTCCGCGGCAACCTTCACCTGCCCACAATTTCGAATGGGTTTGCCGTCAACTGGGAGAGTAATCATTCCTCCGTCATCTCTATCGATGGAATTGTCAATAGACAGTTGACAGACACTCCCGTCGCACTTATAGCATCAATCGACTATGAAGGGGTTTCCCAGACACGCGAGCTGTTCGCTTCAGTGCACAAAGCTGCAGCACTTGGCTCGTTTGAGGGCTATGCGTTCTCTTACTTTACTGGAAACTCACTCGCTGGCGAAAACATTTTCTTTGCGGCCAGTGATAGCAATAATGCATTGGAGTGGACCGAGTTGAACGGCGGCCAGCCAGTTCTCACCTCATCATACGGCACCAAGGGATTGCGAGACCCTTTTCTCATTCGGTCGCCAGAGGGTGATACTTTTTACCTCATCGCCACGGATCTATCTATTGGCTCTGGAACCTCTTGGGGTGATGCCGTGCGCATCGGTAGCCGCTACCTTGAAGTTTGGGAGTCTCATGACCTCAAGACCTGGTCTGAGCAACGCCACATTCTGGTCTCTCCACCTGAGGCTGGAAACACATGGGCCCCTGAAGCCTACTACGACGACGAGCTTGGTGCTTACCTGGTATTCTGGGCTTCGTCGCTTTACGAGGCCACTGATGTCAACCGTACAGGCAGCACCTACCACCGCATGCTTTACGCGACGACTCGCGACTTCGTTACTTTCAGCGAGACCTCAGTGTGGCAGGACGCTGGGATGTCGAGAATCGACTCAACTGTAATCAAGTCCGCGGATACCTACTACCGCTTCACCAAAGACGAAGGTGCCAGCGGTACAGGGTGCAGTGACATCATTCAGGAGAGTTCGGCTTCTCTTCGAGCCACCTTAGAGTCGTGGACCATCATCGATTCATGCATCGGCAAGAAAGCCGGTACCAGCGCCGTCGAGGGGCCAACTGCCTTCAAGTCTAACCCAAATGATGTTCATGGTGAAAAGTTCTACCTTTTTGTCGATGAGTACGGCGGTCGCGGTTACATTCCACTTGAGACTGCCGACATTGGTAACCCCGACTGGAAGGTCTCGGCCTCTTACAATTTGCCGTCCAGCCCACGGCACGGAACCGTCATCCCAGTCACTGCTGCTGAGCGTGCTAGTTTGACGGAGGCCGCGCCGGCCCGTAGAGCTGTTAACGCTGATGGAGAAATTCTTCGCTACGACTTTACGACAGTCGACGGCGCACAACTCCAGGATGCTTCAGGCAACGGCAATCACGCTGTGATTAATGGTGGAGCCACTATTGTGGACGGCGCCCTCAGCTTTGACGGCGTAGACGATTTCGTTCAGCTCCCTGATAACATTATCTCTGGTGTCGAAGACATTGCAATTGAGACTTGGGCCCTTCTAGATTCCTCCCAACAAACTCCCTATTTCATCTATGGGATTGGCAATACAGTGTCTGGTAATGGCAACGGCTACATTTTTACTACTGGAAGCCCCTACAGAGGTAGCATTGCTACCGGCAACTGGACGACTGAGCAGACCGCAGCATCCAGCTCTTCACTGCCACAAGACACCTGGCTACATTTGGTGTACACGATTTCAGGACGTACTTCCGCAATCTACCTGAACGGCTACGAGGTGGCTCGCAACGAGGATGTAAATGTCGACCCAAAGAATATCGGCCAAGGCGTCACGACAGCCAACTACATTGGCAAGTCTCTCTACTCGAGCGACAAACTGTTCAAGGGTCAAATTCGCGAGTTTGCCATTTTCAATAGATCTCTGACAGCGGCTGAGATTCTCTCTCGCTCTGGTAATGTCGGAGCGATTACAGAAGTGTCTCTTGCAGACGCTTCTGCTCTCAAGGTCCCAGCCATCATCAACACGACTGCCGGTAAGGTCTTATTCCCGGTCAAGTCTGGCATCGATGTAACCGCCCTTGCACCGACATTCACCACAGCCGAGGGCGTGACTTCTTCCCCATCCTCTGGCACCATTGTTGATCTTACTGCCGAAGTCAAGTACGTCTTGAAGAAGGATGATGAGACTGTTGCAGAGTGGACCGTCAGCGCTGTTGAGATGCGCAGTCCTGTCCTGCCTGGTCTCTACGCCGACCCCAATGCTGCGGTCTTCAACGGCGTGTATTACATCTATGTGACCACCGACGGTGTTCCGGGATGGGGAGGAAACACTTTCTACGCGTGGAAGTCTACCGATCTCGTCACTTGGACTCGCGGAGAGGAACCTTTCCTAACCCTCGATGGTGCGAATGGCAATGTTCCCTGGGCCACCGGTAATGCATGGGCGCCTACTATTGCTGAGCGCAACGGGAAGTACTACTTTTACTTCAGTGGCCAAAACGCAGCTTTGGACACGAAGACCATCGGTGTCGCGGTAGCCGACACTCCCGAAGGCCCTTTCACTGCTCAGCCTGAGGCCATGATCCTTAACAACGAGGCCATCACTGCGTCTCAAGCTATCGACCCTGCAGCCTTCCATGACCCTGTCTCCGGAAAATACTACATCTTATGGGGTAACGGTCGTGCTCTTGTGGCCGAACTAAACGAAGACATGGTCTCTGTCAACTGGGACACGCTCCAGGCCATCAGCGGCCTAGTTGACTTCCGGGAAGGCGTCTTCTTGGTTTACCGCGACGGTCTTTATCATCTTACATATTCCATCGATGACACCGGTTCGGAGAACTATCGTGTCGGTTATGCCACATCCGAATATGTCGCTGGACCCTGGACATACCATGGTGTGATTCTGCAGAAGGATCCATCTCAAGGAATCCTCGGTACAGGTCACAACTCCATGTTCAGCGTTCCTGGCACCGATGATTGGTACATTGTCTACCATCGGTTCGCCATCCCTGGCGGCGGTGGATACAGACGTGAAACCACCATCGACCGCGTCACTTTCGACCCTGAGACGGGCTTGATCAACCCAGTTATCCCTACGCTCACCAGTGTTGAACCAGAAACCGTGCCTCAGAAGTTCCGCCGTGTATCTCGAGTGATGCGTCTTTGAGTCATTGGATACGAGCGATAAGATAGCGGTAGGATTGTGGTATTTAGAGAGTAGTCAAACTACGACTTTGTCAGTCCATATTATTGAGTTGAACAATAATAAACTGTAATTGGATTGACGATCTACAATGCAGTGAGCCCTTGGTTTAATTGATTCTCATATATTTCCAACAAAGATAGGTGTTCGCATTTTTATTCGTCAAAACTTTCAAAAAGGGCGAAAATTTGCAATCAACATTGGATTTAACGACATTCAATCTTTATTGGATAACAATCTTCGTGGTCTACTACCACACAGCCCATCGAGTTTCTCCAATCTAAATCCAAACACCTCAACCCAATGAATTACAAACAGGTGTTACCGTTGGTTCAATGTACTGAGTGCCTGCACAACCACCGGGACACTTCCCACCACATGGGAAAGCTTGTGTGATGGTGGGAACTTGTGTCGGGCAGTGACAAAGCCGAGAGAGCGTTGAATACTTCACGCACATGAGCTGAACGCATGTAGAGCACACTGTCTCCTTTTTGAATACCGTAGGACATGCCTGTGGTAAAATTGGTATCGTGGTGATACGAATCGAGGATAGAGTAATGGGTGCATTGCATGTAGGGGTTGTGGTTTCGTAGATGTACGATGTGCCCATACAGCCTGTGGGCGGCAAGCCGTTGCAGGGGTAGTTGACCGTTATCGTTGGAACTACCGAAGGGCACCCGCAGTGGCTTCGAATGGTAGACCGGGCGAGGCAAGCTGGGAGTATGAAGGAGGGACAGACGCTCCCGGTTGAAGTAAACGTTGGGCAAAGAGTACTGCTGCCTTGGGCCGTAGCACAGCTAGAATATGTTTAGCGCTACGTTTCTAACATTAGGGCAGCTCTCTTCATACATGACCATGGCAAAGGCAGTGATCTTGATTAAGAATTTCATATTAATATATGTTGTCATGAAGATGGTCTATATGAAGGCTCTTGAGTTTTGAAGCGTTCGTTGAGAGGTTCGATTATGCAGAAAGGTCTGCCATGTCGAAGCTCGGGTGATTTATAGAAGTATCTTATATCTCTTCAGAGACTTTGTTAGTTCAACCCGGAAGTTGCCAGTTGGAAAGATGTACAACGCCATGCATCATGTCTCAGCGGCATGCCACAACAGTCCACACCGAAGCTGTGCCCGACCGCCACCACCGTTAAGTCACCGGAACCCAAAAGCCGTTGCGCACACACCGTTCGAGAGATGTAACCAGTAACAGACTTTCCCAATGATTGAACTACATCATATGGCGCAGTAGAGAGCCCACAGTATATAGGCAACTGCAAACAGGCAACCCTTTCAGCTGATACAAGTTATTGCCGTTTTTGGCCAGTTGTCGTTTGCGACATATACCAAGCGTGTTACTCAGAGAGATCTTCAAGAAATAACTCAAAAACAGCTCAGCCTTATTAGCGTCCACTGTCGACACTTGGAAGACTATTATAAATAGTTTCCCTTTATGACTACCCCGCAGATCTTCACAGCTAGAATTCTCAATCTGAGTATGGTTCGGAAACATGTGAATTCTAAGACAGCCTCAAAATAAAGTACGCTTCTGGTGTATGTTTTATCCTTCCTCTTTGCCCCTTAAACTTCATTCGCGTACACAGATCTATTCGGAGTCCTAGTGCTTAGCAACGAGTTCAGTGTATCCCTTTGAATTTAGATCTACTGAAGCAGGGGAAGCACCGATATTGTAGCGAAGGAACGATGTGAGCTCCCTGACTGGCTCATGCTCAGTGAGCTGCGAGATTTATTTGAATCTTTCCCTCAGGCCGAGAACCAGTCGCTTGATGATCGTTATGTCTCATAGCACTTGAAGCATTAACCCCTATTTGCACCAATCTTTTCTTCTTCTTCTTCCTTTTTTACCGACCGACATTGAGGACTACGTCGGCGAGGTGTGGTCCAGGCCACACCTAATCAGTAGGATCTCCCTTCACGTACCTGTCTCACTTGATCATCCATGGCACGTCCGCTTTTAGCAAGACGAACGCAGGTCAATCTTGGCATTACTGTGTGGCTTACAAGACATACCTGTTTCCCATGGGTCGCAATCAGTCCAAAACCATCTACTTCACACTCTTTGCCCGAAGACCTCTTCATGGTCAGAAGGGAAGAAAAAAAACACAAAAACACAAAAAGAATCCTTCTTATTTTCATTTATCAACGCCGAAGTTTCGGGGGAAAGAAAACAAGACGGCGCTGTTAGTCAGCCTGATCCGAAGTTTTGATAAGTGACAATTGGAACAACCAAAAAGGTTGGCTGTCAGATACCAAACTATACATTTCTCCTGACGACCTACAACCGATACATGGCTTCTATCGAAATGGTTGTGTTCTGCGACTGAACCAACAGACTCAATCTGCTTGAACTTGCGGCTTTTGACAGCGCGAATGACTCGTATAAGCGGACGGGGAGAGGGTTGTCGGAACAGGTGCCAGGACGGCACCAACACCTCTACCCGAGGACGAGTTAGTCCGACTCTGGGCCTCTGCGCCGTCTTCCGCATGTGGGCAGCGTAAGGAGATTCCATGACGGGAGTTGGTCCGTGTTAGGATTGGCCTAGGTCCCGCCCGGGCACCCAGCCCCACGTCCGATAATTGACGATGGTATAGGCCGTGCTCAGTTACACATATAGTGCCCAGTGCCGAACGACCGATGGGGCAGCTAATGTGACTAAGGGATGCGACTGCTAACGCATAACGATACCGACTTGTGATTCTTCTTGGTCCCTTGGTGCCGGACTAGGTCCGATTCCAAACCCGTTGGCCCGTCTGGCCATTTTTCGGCGTTTTGGGACAACGGTTGAACCGTCTCCAATCACCAAGGTTGCGCAAACTAGGGTGGGGAAACCAACGTGTCAAGTCTACTGCTGGGCCACATTGTCACTGGAGATGCCACGGAAAATTAATGAATGGACTAAAACCTAGTTCTGGGGAAGGGGGCCACTAATTCTCTTCCCTAACGCATGTAATCTTTGCCCAGCGCCGGGCCGAGTCAGCCGTCGACGGCGACTGTAGAAAACCGGGGATGGAGACGGATAGCAATGCTACCTAAGGTACCGGTATGCAATTGATCTCAGCCTCTTTCTTGCAGTCCCGGCGCTTCACACGGCGATTTAGAGTTGTCCTTTGCCTTTTTAACCTAGCTGGTCGATTTGTCGACCGAGACCCTGATCGCCCCTATCTCACAGCACAGCCTCGACGGCAGATGCGGCAAAGAAAAGGCTTGTTATGGTCAGGAGCTGGACGCACAAGCGCATTTTATGGTTGATGCGCGCTCTACCTCAGGGAATATCCATCAATCCATAAGAATAATGCCGTGCGGGCCTCTGTTCGTCGCAGGATGTTGAGTCGGGCTTTGCTGTTTCAAGCCCTCCATTCGACAAATCGGGCCCATCATTCCATCCCAAGAAATGGTCGGTGCGGCCGCGGCCTTCGGTCTCGATTCGATTACCGATGTTTGGATGAGGAGCAGCGGCGATGCATACGGTAGCCGGCAAACACCACTTGACTACGTATGGAAGGGGAGGGGCCGCAACGTTCGGTAGAGCCTTCAGGAGTATGTCAAGAAACGTCCGAGAGTGCAAAAATAGGCAGGAGCTGAGCACATGGGCTAACCTTATGGTAGAGATTAGCGCTTTGATGTCACCCAGCGGAACAGCATGGTAGACGAGCCTAACCCCGCCGCGAGGCACTCGATCGACTTACGAGCCCAGAATTCGACAACGTCTGATGGCTTCCCGCAGCCGTGGAATCTCTCTGGAAAGCCTCAGCGTTCCAAGGACCCCCTACCGTCTCAGCCTGCAAGTTGATTCGCCATAGTTTTGAATGTACGGCGTCATCCCTGTGTCTCGCTTCCCGAGCTGGGGCTTTCTGTCTGCCCATTCGCCCCAGTGCACCAAGATCCGCGACAAGGGTGCGTGGTTGAGACTCCAACCCCATTCTCCACACAGGTGATACTGGTGCCCAGATGCACATGGGTACTGGCTCGTGCTCAACATCGGATGTGATTGATGTTCATAGAATTAGGATGGCATACGAATCACTATATAGTTCAGATCAAAGAACCTGTCCCCAAAGTGGTTGGACCCCCTCCACCTCTACCTGCATCTGCTCCATTCTCTTTGGTTGGTCCTACGGTCTTATACACCTGGTAAATCAGCAGTCCGGTGTCGACATCCACGCTCTCTTTTGCAACCTCTCGATTTATTGAATTCCGCAATTGACAGTCATTTCAATCCGCAGCACCTGAAACTTTGTTCGTTTTCAACACACACCTCACACTTTTAGAGAAAATGAGATTTTCCATCGTCGCACTTGCCTTGTCAGGCGGTGCATCGGCTCTGGTACGTTCCCCTGCTTTTTATATCCTCTTCAGACAACTCCCCTAATGCTTCAGTCATCAGCCTGCTTTGAGCAGCGTCACAGCTCATCAGCCAGCCGATCTGGTCACCCGGAAAGTCGAGTTCAAGGGTGCCGCTGCCCCTTCGCTGGTCGACGACATGAACCTCTCCCGCGTAGAAGCGGTGGCCGTACGAGAAGAGTCAATAGCGAACGCAAACAAGAGGAGCATGATACTCGAGCCAAGACAGGCTGCAAAAGGAGGAAACACTGCGGAAGCGTTTGATCCCAAAGCGAAGGCAATAGGCGATAATAAGGAAAATCCGACAACTGGTCTGACGGACTCAGAGGCGGCAGAAATCGTTACCTCGATCGACTTCAAAGACAAGAAGGCGCCAGGTTCACTGAATGCCAAGGGTCAGAGGAATCCGTTGCCTGGTTTGACCGCCGATATGACGGATGCTATCATAAAGCAGGGGCAGGCAGCTCTTAAGGAGGCCGGTGCATGATGGAGCAGTGTCTTCGTGTGGAATACCTCAATCCCTATATAATCAAAGACTGTCCACGTCTCTGAAGGTCTCGAGGCACTTTGCTTCTCATTGCTATTGTTCACAAAAAGGGTAACTTTGACAACATGATGGAAGTTGCCAATACCCGGCCGATTCGGTCATCTCTCAGGTGGGTCAATGAGCGTATTTCTGTGACATTCTGAGACCGCAGGGGTTGCCTCACCTTCCTATCTCATCTAGTGAAGACATTGTGTTGAGTAGATAGGAAGGCATACAAAGCAAGGAGCAACAAGTCTACCATCCGTCCTCTTGCTGTCATCTTGTGAAGCCAAGCAGAGAAATTTTCTCGCTGATGTCATGAATGCCGAGTCATTATTCCGTTAAAATTCCGTCAAGCTTTGGTCACCAGACACGCCGGCGGTTGGCCCCGCTCCTCCACGGACCCGTCGGGGTCCGAGTCGGACGTTTACCGGCGATATAAGCGGGATGTGGGCCTGGTCTGAATTCGACTGCAGATGAACTAAAGTTCAAAGAGAGTCCAATCATAGAGTCTTGCGGGAAGATACGATACATGAAGTATGACCCTGACCTGCCGGGGATGCTAGTGCAAGTCTGCTGTCATCGCATCTCGCCAATCCTCACATGAACGGTCCCTGTCTCGTCCATATGTTCATGCCCAACTTCTCTCCTCTCGCAATAGGCAGGCCAGCATGCAATACCCTTTCGTCCCCTGCTCCTCCATCAACTAAGTTTGTCCAAAACACTGCGTTACCCTCCAAAGGTCGGAATGTTACGCCCGCGTCCCACGGTTCGTCGCAATCCACGAACTTACACCATTGTTTCCCAGGAGGCGCCTGTAGCCGGGGGAAATTTGTCCCGCCTCCAACAATGTCATCGCTCACCCCGATATAAGTGAAGAAGCTGCTCACACGGTTTCCGCCTTCGGCCACCGATCTGTGTACACCCAAACCATCTGGGAACCAGTCCATGTGAAAGTGGTACTGCTGGCCCAGCCCATATTTGACCAACTGTATTGGCTCCAGGTAGTTTTGCGGCATATCTAGACCCTGGAACTGTCGCGCGCGCTCTTGGATGCAATGTGTTACTGCATCTGACGCAACGGTTGTTGACTCCGATGTACGATGCGATGAGACTACATCGCCTTCAGAGCCGGTAACGTTGGAGCGAGCAAATGTGCCATTTCTGCAAAAGAGTCAGTGCTCTTACCATTGCTTCCGGGCTCTGCAAAAGGCCGGGTCATTACTTACGTGACTTTTTGAAGGTATTGTCGCTCAAAAGGCGTCACAAAGTCACTGATATAGATAACTAGGGGGAAATGTGAAAATAGATGAATCTTGTAATTTGAATGTTCGCACAAGTAATCATCAAGACTATCTCCACCGCTGGTGCCATATGCGATGGCCTCCAAGGCACAGACTGTTGCGAGGAGGCTCAACCGCATGGCTTGACGGGTTTTGCGATCTCCGCCTTTTCGTCGATTAAATTGGGGTATAGAATGTGGGACTATTGAAATACTTGTCATTGTGTTCTATCCCTTCAATCTCGAAAGGGATGTGCAGGCTTGCGGCCTTGTCAACCCATCTTCCATTTATCCGGACACAACTAATCCACTTCTGTGCACCCCGATATTACATGCTGGCACACCCAGAAACCCAAAACACCATGATTACCCCTCAGCAGCTGACTACTACGACCCTGTTGAAACCGCCACTAAGGGGAAGTACATGTAGGATAAATGCATCGAGAGAACATTCAAGAGCCGAAGCTTCACGAAAGTCTGACACGAACCTGGGACAGAAACATTTTTAGATAAGTTACGTGATCTGCAACTAAGCGAGAAATGATGAGCTATCCGTAGCATTGGAATAGAAAAATGGAGTCAGCCAGATAACCTTAACGATGTTGAAGGGTACATTGTATCTACATGTATTGGAGGGCAGGGAGGATGGTTCTTTTCCAATCACTAGTGCCGGGCTGCCTATTGCCGGGGTGCCTAATGCAGGGGGTGTTCGACGATAGGTAAGGAATTATGCCCCAACCTGGAACGGAGCCCTTTTCCGCAGTATCCTTTCGTGATCACGGAGAAAGCCCCCGACCCCTCAATCCATCCATACGCGTGTATGTGGCATGATCGATGCATTCTGTGATACGCATCACGTTCGTGTGACACTGTCCGCTTGCACAGGTCAAGATTATCAGGTTACTGTCCGTTTATCAACTGTGTCACTGTTCAACCTTCGACGAGCCATCGTCACCTAACTCTCGAAAAAAGTGAAACAAGAAGAGATGCCTACAGCTCAGGATCGAGCCACCTCATGCTCCTGTCTATGCTAGCGAACCTGATTGCAGCAGCGCTTGAAGCGTCGTATGTTCAACACAACCAGAATTAGGAACAAGGACTCGCCGCAATGAGCATCTGCACTTTGATTTCCCTTATCGGCTTGTTTTCAGCCCCTGTATGGAGTTGGAGTCATGTTCGTGGGAGAGAACTTCAAAAGCTGTTAAGTACTCAAGATCACACACTCGTCGCCTGTAAGTAATTTGGCTCGGTTGCCATCTTAGAGATTGCATGGGCAGTGTCTAACGGTTTACTGCAGTCATTGGAGTAAGTCGCCTTTCATGTGACTTCGTGGGAAAAGTCATGACTAAATCAGGCTGAGGAAATCAGACTGAGAAGTAAGTATCAAAAGGGTTTCTTACAGACAAACCGTTTACGAAGAGCCAGTACCCAAAGCCAGCTACTCGACACAGAATGGTCCAACATAGCCGACGCAGACAACTCTCCTCAGAGTATTGACTGTGCAGTAGAGTCAGAGTTCTGCGAAGAGCACGACGTACGGTCGTTCCCGGCAATCCGGTTGTATCGCTCGAATGGTACAGTATACGATTATTATAGAGGACCTCGAATCGCCAGCAAGTCAGTCGTGCCTACCACACGCATTCCATGAAAAGAACCTGACTCTGTCCCAGAATAACAGCATTCGTGAAGCGCTCTCTCCGGCCAGCCGTCTCCGGGCTTGTCGCCAGAAATACCACCGAGTTCAGCTTGATCGATGACTCCGTGTTCGTCCTCCACCTGACGGACGCAGATGCAGGGAAAGGTCTCTACAAGCGCTTCCACGATTTTGCCACAAGATTCACAGACCGTTACTCTTTTGGGGTCGTCCCGGCAAAGGAACAAGATGCAATGTCCACTCTGGACTGCTATAACAATCTTGAACAGGTGCAAAGATCGACCCAAAACATTTTTGAAAATTTCGACTCGTTGAAGAGCTTCTTTGAAATATGTACCGCCCGCCTGGCTCCAGAGATGACGCATGCAAACAAGAGATACTTCACGGAAGTACGTCAGGCCGCTCGAGAGACAGCGCAAAGTCTTGCTAACCGCATGGGTTCATAGAGCAGAGAAAACGTGCTGTACTACTTCGACGTTCAGTCCGACAACCGTGACAGGTATTCCTCCAATGTTCGAGAACTGGCCAAGAAACACATCAACGAGCTCGAGTTTGTCACCGTCGACCCAGTGTCGTTTCCCGAAGTTCCGACGAACTTGGTCTTGAAGTGGAACTTTCCCGCAATTGTTCTTCAAGACAAAAAGAGAGGTTTCGTATTTTCCTCCGAGAGGAAGGAAAACATCAAACCCGAGCTGGTAGACAACTTCCTTCAATCGGTGACTGATGGCAGTGTCAGGCCTGCGTTCCAGGATCCTGCGGAACCGGCTGTGAAGGATGAGGGAATCAACGTGGACACAGGTACTGAAGAGAAAGTAGCGCACGATGAGCTTTAGAGCGAGTTTGTCCACATTCCAAAGGAGACGAACTTCATATTTGCGACAAGTGAGTCGTGGATTCAACGGTTAATGCGGTTGAAATCACGGCATAATAATATCGTTCTCGAAGAACCAAAAGCAAACAAGAAAATGAGTAAGCAAATCAAACATCCTACTCGACCACCAACACTCCCGTTTATCCAATGCGCGTCAATCTGGTTTGCTTCTTGGCGACCGATGCTAATTGAGCGTTCTGGTGTTCCATTGTTTGGAGTGATTGCGTCGAGGTGGTTCGAGGCAATTGGAAAGATGGTCGAGACTAATGCTAATCAACCAAGGTCGTACGTGTATCAGCATTTTGCCTGACTTTCCACTTTGTAATATTCCCGCCCTGTACTGCCGGCCGGTCTCGTATATAGCAAGTTGCACGCAAATGGTCAAGCCGAACGCCAGCGATCGAATCGGGTCATCCGCCAAGTCGAACGCCAAGAGCACACGTCAGAAGGGGTCAGGGTATGTTGTCACTGCGACATTGCCAAGGCCTGGAGGTCTTTCGAGAAAGAAGCCCGAGAAGTAAGATTGACAGCGCCCAATCCGTGGGAATACCAACATAATTATTGCGGTACAGTATGCTGCTGCCGTTGCCAAATGGTAGTAGTGCGTGCAAAGTAGTGCTAGTGCCCCCCTAGTCGGGTTTCAGGGGAAGTGGGAGGATGAGAAAAAGGACATCCATCCATTACGAATTCTGGAGCCGACAAATACGAAAGGCTCGTTTCGTACCTTTGGGCCGGTAGCGGCCTCCTTTTCGAATGGCCCTTTAGCCGACGGTTAATTGGATATTCCCCTATTCGTGCCCCTGCTACCTACCCAGATGCAGAATAGTGTAAGACTAGGTGTGTAAATATGGTTAGTATTGTGGCCCAAGCGCTGCTGGACCGTTGGCGGGCCGCCTCTCGGTGAACACATGCCACACCTTAATAGCTCACTCTAAACATTGTCCTTGATTCCGCCCACTTACCTAACGCAGGCGTTTGTTGGTTCCTGGGATCATCTCAGCCGCCATTCGTGTGGGATATATGTCGCTTGGAGGCTGGCCAGGCTTGGCTGGCCACATCGGTGTCATGGACCCAGAGAGGAGCAGCCTGTTCGACGGATGATCTTGCCTCGCCCAGCCGCAGTACCGGCGCTAGCCCCTGGCGTAGATTGTGGAGTAGACACAGTGAGCGGCAAGGATTGGTCCACAAAGCTTCATTTACACCCGACATCATGGTACTCAATGCGACTCGAATACGTCCTTTATTGGTGGGACGCCGGACCTGCTCATCTGTCCATCATGGCTATCGACCGTCAACCGCCCACCGGTTCCAGAAGATGAACAGAGGCCGACTCCCGAAGACATCGCAAAGCTCGCACAGTCCTTCTCTCCGTTGAACAAAGAAGGGAAAAAAGTGCTACCAACGTGGGTCGGAGTTAATTTGGCTTAGGCGAGGCGGCTCCATCGCGTTAGCACCGCTACTTCACGGACGACAGGCCTAAACAAGACGTGGAGAAATGTTTAATATGATTGAAGTCATAAAATACGGGACAGTCCGCACTACCGGTCGTGATGTTCTATCTTTTCTAGCTCCATCAGACGATCTTCTTACCTTCCGATCACTACATTCATTCCAACCACTCTTTACTCAAAATGCGTTCGTTCACTTCGCTCTTCACTGCCACCCTGGCGGCTGTCGGTGCCCTTGCCGCCCCTGCTGCCGACCCGGCCATGACGACCGACCTCATCAAGCGCGCGTCCACTCCCTCCAGGTATTTGCCGCATGCTCGTCGAGAGACGATGGAATATCAAAGTGTCTTCGAGGCTGACCAAACGTGAAGCACCGGAACCAATAACGGCTACTACTACAGCTGGTGGACTGACGGCGCCTCTCCCGTCACTTACACGAACGGTGCCGGCGGCTCTTACAGCGTCCAGTGGCAGTCCGGCGGCAACTTCGTTGGTGGAAAGGGCTGGAAGACCGGTGGCGCCAGGACCATCAAGTACTCTGGCACCTTCGCCCCCGTCAACAATGGCAACGCCTACCTGACCGTCTACGGCTGGACTAGAAGCCCAGTGAGTTGGCTCCCGAACCAAAAGTGAGCTAGAGACCGTCGATCATACTAATGCCCCACCTTAGCTTATTGAGTACTACATCGTCGAGAACCACGGCAGCTACAACCCCGGTAGCGCTGGTACCCTCAAGGGCCAGGTCACCGTGGACGGCTCTGTCTACAAGCTTTACCAGGCCACCCGCACCAACGCTCCCTCCATCGAAGGCACCAAGACCTTCCAGCAATTCTGGGCTGTCCGCGAGAAGAAGCGCAGCTCCGGCAGTGTCAACACCCAGACCTTCTTCGATGCTTGGAAGAAGGTCGGCCTGAACCTCGGCACCCACGACTACATGATCATGGCCACCGAGGGCTACAAGTCCGCCGGTTCGGCCAGCATCACCGTCTCTTAAGCGACATGACGTTCTGGTAGCAGACGAAGCATGGTTTGATGATAGATTAACCTGACTCACCGCGTCAAGTTGGCAGAGATGATCGCGGGTTGATCATCTGGGAAACAGGTGTAGGCTTTAGGCTATGAGAAAATAGGCCTTGCAAACTTCGGTACACAGTTTTTTTTTTACCCGACATGATGCGTCTTGACATCAAGTCGATATACATAGCATTCAACTTCTTTACATACAAAACACTGGTTTGACTATGCCATCGCTTTCAAGCGCTGGCACGTCCCCTCCACAAACCTCTCAAGTCTCCCTTGAGCAGCGACTGCGCAACCTACAAGTGACAGCAACTTCCACACATACACGATGACTCCTGTTTACGCAGCAATCTGAGCCTCAGTAAATGGCCCAAGTTCTTGAGGCTTCAGGTAAATTGCCAGATCCAACTACTTCATTTTAAGCCTTGGCCCACCATTACTTCTGGGCATGCAGCTAGGCGTACAGTTTGACGTGTGATCTTGTTCGATGCCAAGCGATCCATCAGTGCATCATTTCTGGCCCATGCGAAAGCTATCTCGCCCCGGGCCCTTGATCCTAGACCCAGGCAGACCCTCATGCTTCTGTTCAAGTTTAGCCGTAAGCGACTGGAGCCGCTATCCTCATTCATCTGCCGCGTGCCTGTATCTCAAAAGAATAGTACGTCCGAAGCCAGCGAGAACGCTTGATAATATTGACAGCTAGGGAGTCGGGCGATCATTAAATCTCCTTCCGCTGTCCCTGTCTATGCTGTGGTAATCGTGAGCGAGTAGTCGACTCACTCGAATACTCTGGTCGTTGTTTGTTTCTGGAGCATAGGCCATGAGATTTGTGCCCACGGGATTTAGGTAAGTCCAGTGAGAAGATGAAAACCGCCGTTCCAATTTGGAGGCTTGGCGTTCTGCTCTCCGAGACGCTCGCGATTTACGACCGAGATGCGACTTAAGTAAAGCCGCTTGCGCAGACCCCATGTGAATGATTTTGACTGAGTGCCAAGCTTATGTTTACAAGAGAAGTCTTCGTAATTTTCTAAAGAGTTAAGAAACAACATATTCTTTGTCTGGCTGAAACAAAGGTACATCTTGATGTTTTGCATGTAATAGTGAATCGAGTCCTCATCAGCAAGGTCTGTCTCCGTGCATTGTAATAGGATTTATTCAGCTTCAGCCATCTTCAGCTTATGCTGCTCACTCTCCGTCAAATTTTGGTCATGCTTTTATTTAATCGACCCATGCGAACTCGGCAATATGTGGTCCGAGCCTGTTGAAGATCACAGAGCGAGCTAGAGTTTGTTAGCGTACTGAACCAAGCACAACCTGCAAAAAGTGTTGATGTGTATTAGCGCAAAGTAGCAGCCGACCCATCTGATTAATCCGTGGCATCAACCAAGACATGGGATGGCTTTATACGGTCCTTTCTGTGCGTGCTCACACGAACTCTCTTTTTAGTGCATCGGCAAGCGGGTGACAAAAAAAGTGATACACACAACACCCCAATTGCTACCAGTCCCCTACTTCACCTAGGAATACCTCTACGGAGACCCGAGCTCTTCTTTCTAAATTCCGGGAAAACTTAGATAGAGTTTGGTTGTGTACAAATGTCTTTTTCCACCAGATACATTCTGAATATTGAAGACGTCGCTGGTGCTGTTGTGAAGGTCGTGGGCGGGGGAGTCTGGTTCTGTGTATCACTTTTTTGTCACCAGCTTGATCGGCTTCGCTGTGTTGCCGCTGCAGCGCTGTGTCACCTCGGCGGTGGCAACTTTACTATAGTACGAGAAGTTTTTGGGCCGATTGGCGAACCTAAAATAGTGTGACAAGCCATTGGAATTGACATTCTGAACCTCAACACGCGGAACCTGTTTGGTAATCCGGTTAGATATTGAGTTTGAGCGGGCGAGGGTGAGGTGGGTACTGCGCTCAGTTGCCTACGGCAAAGGAAGAAGGCAAAAGTCAGTCCCTGTATGTACCAGGGTCCGATGCATAAGGCCCAGATGTTGCTGATAAGAAGGTGTAGCTCACGACTTACAATGTTGCGAGAGTAGATGGGTCCTTGTGGACTCATAGTGTTGTTTCTCTGCCAGGAAGAGATAAGCCGGTAGGGACATTGTGAGACTTCGCGAAATACATAGGTTAAGTTAGAAACGTTTGTGATATTCACTCTGCCAGCTTGTCGGAATGAGCAGGGCGCTATGATGATGGCAAAGCCTTTGTTCAGTCTAGCTGTAAAGCGCAAGATGCGTGACGGAGATCATGATTGCAAAAAATATCACGTCTCGAATGGATCGTTAGTGGTGACAAGTCAGGTCCGTGACAGGAAAACATGAATGTCTGATCTGACATTGCTCAGGTTGAACTCCCTATGCCAAGGGCATGCTTCGTTAGTTTTCAATCCTGGAATACTATACATTCAGCCAAAATTTAATCTCCAAGTCAGTGGAGATAAGCTACTGTGCATATTCTTCATACACAACGTGTGACTATGAGTGGTGGATTTCTTTTTTCTTCTTTTGTTGCTTGATTCTAGTGATCTTGGCGGAAGCTGAGGGCAAGTTCTCGTTTTGTTGTGTCAAACTCTATTCCGGGTATTAGTCACACGGCGTTCTCCGTCAGAATATACTTGGAGTCCGTAGTGACCAACCACAATCGAGCAGAGTAATGTATCTCCTAGAAACTCTGAATTGAGTGTATAAGTACAGGGTCATAGCCACGCCGTTTTCAGACTAGAAGCCAATTCGTCCAATAAAGAACATCGCCTGTTTAGTCCGGAATAGCTAGGGTTGGCATTGCAGTCAACTATCAATCAAACACTGATTAGGCCGCAAAAGGTCCAAAATATTTAAAACCCCTTAACACCTTGCATTCATACGTTGATGCAGATTTCAATTATGGCTTGCTGAGGCTTGGCCGCATACGAACTCATCACTTTATTTTACATGCACAGAAAGAGCACTGGCAGCATTTAGAAATTTCAGAAAGGGCTATGTTCCATCCACATCTATAAATTTGCTCTAGTCCCAGACGACAGCTTTTTACATTATCCCGAGACCCGTGGCAGGCTTGGCCTGCACCCACTTCTGCCGCAACGTCGATTTCCATTCGCCCAGCGTCTGAGTCTGACCATCAACCAGAATCTCTCCCGGTTGTAGATCCCTCGGCAAAGGCGGCACGATGAGCCAGTCGTGGCTCGGCCTGCAGGCGGAGGCGTGCCCCGGCGAAAAGTTCTGGCTCTTGACGGCTGCAAGACAGGGCAGACATAACTTTAAGTCGATGCAGTACCAACACACGGCAATCTTGTCAGATCGCTCAAACCTCTTGAGACAGTGGTCACAGGAAAGAGGATCACCCTCTGAGAAGACTTTGGTCAAGCTAATTTGCTTGCCGCGTCTCCTGGGAGACAAACCTCCGATACGGGGTGAGCTGGGTCTTCTCTCACTGATTAAGTGACCAGAGAGGTTGGTGGGCAAAGGAGGGGTCCTAGTTGATTGCCAAAGAGCCTGAGCATTCACCTTATCACCAGCAGCAATAAGCATGCGCTGGAGGTGGCGAATGCTGATTTCGTCGTTCTGTGGTTCATCATCTTCCAGAAGTTCGAGACTGTCAGACACCATGCCTCCGAGAAGCCGACGGGATTCCGCTTCCCTGTGTCGCAGACGATAGAGAAGGATCAAGAAGATCGAGGCTTCATTAAAGTCGAAGCCAGCCATGTGCAACGGTACGTTTCTGTTCTGATACTTGCCCTGCTGCTCCATGAGCTTTTCAAGCTTCTTGACCCAAGGTTCTAGGGCTTCAGACCGCAATGTTTCGTCCGCCTTGAGCGCTTTTAGAGAGTACGCCCTGGCAAGCTGTTTGAAAGACGCGATGTATTCCACCCGCACGGCTAAGCTGCCTCTCGCCTTATACTCGAGGAAGCAGATACTTTCCTGAATGGAGATGGCATTGTCGTACTCTTGTGCCGCCATGTAGACATTACCCAGAGCGTTTCGCAGGTAGAACTCTTTCCAGGAGTCTTGCGCCTCGTGTGCTGATTCGATGCCGTACACGTACCGGTCCGCAAGCACGTCCGTCTTGCCTGTTCGAGCAGCCGCTTGGGGGAACCAGTCCTTGACGGACTGATCGGGAATCTGAGTCAAAAGAAACAACACAAATCGAGAGTTGCCCCTCTCAGTGTAACGACCGTCCAGCTCCTCAAACAGACCCATCATCTCCGTCACTCGATTGTTTTCGGTCAGAACCCTCATGAAGGCGACTTCTGGCTCAAACTCTGGGGCGTCATAGACGTTTCTCATTGCCTTACGACAGTACGCCAAAGAACTCTCAACCCGCTTCATGTAGTTGTAGCACTCGGCGATCTGAGCCTGGTTCTTGTAGAGCCGCCATTTCGCCGTCTTGAGCTCCTGGTCCGTCTTGTAGTAGCCTTTTGCCATGCGATCTTGCTCAACAACCTCGCACATAAGATGGAGCTTGAGAGCCTTTTCGTAGTTTCCATTCAAAAAATGGCACAAACCCATGCGACCGCAGCTTTCAACAATGTTAGAATCCTCAGCAAGCGCTTTTTCAAAGTAATCCAGCGCCTTCATATGTTCTCCCAAGCTCAGGAAAGTACTGCCGATTCTTCGATACCAGTGTCCAGTTTTGGAATGATTCGCCCACTCAGCCGCCTGCTGGATTCTGGTCTCTAGGGGCACTTCCTGCCAGTGAAATTCAGAATCGGACCACTTTGCACCATCCTCCATAAGAGGCAGAGATTGCACGACGCCGAAACAGAACAGGGTTGGCATGTACATGCCAAACCCCTCCACAAGCCATGCCTTGGCAAACGTCCTTCCCATAGGCTCAAGAAGGACGACCGGACTTGTCGCTGCCACACTGACCCAGGCCTTTTGCTCGGCAGCGAGAGTGCTTGTAACATCCGCGTCTTTGAGCCACCGAGAGACGACTTCAATGTTATGGTCAGTCCAAATATCCAAACTCTCCTCGAACAAGTTCGTCCATGTCAAGAGGATCGTCGGATCGGTCAGCATGATATAGAGGCGGTTGCCGATGTCGGCCTTCTCGGCTGCGGATATAGATGTGATGTCGACGTCCTCTAGATGCTCTGGCCAATACCAAGCTGCGTATCGTTGCAATGACAGACCTTCTTCGCCAAGAGTGAAGTATGTTGGGTCAGTGAAGATCCGCAAGCAGGTCTTGAGGACGTGCAGTCTTGCGTCGGTCAGCTTGAATCCGATAGAAGGGCGATGCACATCTGCCCTCAAATCTGTAGACACGTCTTCTCGAAAGAACTCCTTAACTGAGGCGTGGAAGAAGTTGACATAAGTCGTACGTTTGTTTGAGAAGTATTCGATATCTCTCTCCGCGTCCAAGAAGTCAGGGCTGGTCCTTTTGTTCGGGTCCAGTTCGATAGAGGTGAGTCGACGATGGAGCTCGTGTCGGTCGGCAAGATCAGCTGTTGACAGCCCGTCTTCGCGCTCAAGGGTGAAGAAGCAAGAGAACTGCCCTCTGAGGGACTCCTCGAGCCTAAATGGAGCATCGCCCATCTTGAGCGTCAAGATGGACTCAATTTGCTCTAGCGTGAGACCCATTTCAGCTACTGAAATCCAACGTAGAATTTCGTTTAGATCATCTGCCTCCTCTTGCGTGATGGATGAACTGAAACCCAGTACAGCTTTCTTCAGCATGCCGTTGATCTCTTTGGGGTAAGACTGCAAGCTGTCGATAATTCTTCTCGGATGCCGTATTCTGTTGAGTTCGGCAAGCATAAATTTGGCCAAAATGAAGAGGCCATCCACTTGCTTCGTCATGGTCTCGACGATACTCTCTTTGAAGTCTTCCGTCGATCCTCGTAAGATTCGGGCGGAATTTACCCCCTCGACTATGTAAGACACAATGTCTGAACTGTTCCGATCTGGTGTTACATGTAAAGTGCGAACCTGCTGGCCACCTGTTGAGTCGTTTCCGAGGTAGTCCATAATGTCGTCTGAGAGTGACGTTCGCCCGATCAGGGCGACTTGCACTCTTGTCCCATGCTCTGACTGTTGGTTGAGATCGTCCAACAACGACAGAAACTCCCTCACTTCGCGAGGGTCAGCCTCATCTAAGCCATCCATCAACACATAAATGTGTCTTTTCCATTTGTCAGGCACACAGGGCTCAACAAGCAACTTTCTGAATGCGCTAGGTACAGTTTTGATTTCGTCACTTGTGGAGACTTCGCGGATGAGTTGCTTTCCATAGAAGACGTCCTGTTCGCTGACCTGGTAGGCAATGTCTCTAAGCGCTTGCGTCATGGAACGGGACTCCGGGTTGTTTTGGCGGAAAAAGAAGTATCCCATCATGTTATTGGTTTCCTGCTTGTTAAGCAGGTCTTGACCCCAAGAGACAAGACGAGAAGTGAGATAAGACTTTCCTGTTCCAGGATTTCCGGATATCCAGAGGAAACGAATGTTACCAGCTAACCAATCCTTCAGTGAGGGGTCTTCAAGGATCCAGTCGCAGGTGCCTTGTGTTCTGGTCCTATTAAGCGCAAAATAGGTATCTTCCGGATATACGGATGGCTGTAAGATGCCCTTGAGTTTATCCCGATTCGACGAGAGGGCCTGTTCCTTTGTTTGGGGTACTCGAGTTTCTGTGCGCAAAGTTTGGACGTTGACGTCTACTCTTGACATCATCTCGAGGAGTCGTTCTTGATTCGAGAGGGACCGTTTCACGCCAGCGCTGGTCTCTGCAATAACGAGCCGCTCTTCACCCTCGGTCAGAGAAGCCAACTTCTTCATGGCGTCAGGCACTTTGCTTTCACTCCCAAACAAGCGCTTGAAGTAGGATTTGAGACGTCCCTTCCGGACTTCATGTGTGGCCAGGATAAAGATCTCGAATATGGTGACTAGAATCTTGACAACCTTATCATAAAGTTCGATCGACATCCTTTGGGAAACATAAAACTTTAGCCGGACTGTGAAGTCCTGCATCTGGTCGAATAGGTCTATAATGGAGTCGTAGCATGCCGAGACGTCCTTTGCGGCGTTGATCAAGTACACAACTGCGGCAAAGATGGTCTGGCCGGGAGGGAAGATATCTGCCGACGCTCCTACCAACGCCTCACCGACGACCTCAAGAGGCTTGCATGCGGTGGACAGGACCTGAAAAAGGGTCTGACGCTTCTCTCGGAAACTCTGAAATTGTTCATTTTGACGGTTGATGACATTCAGGAGGTCCTCGGTTGATCTCATGGGCGGGTTCATATAGTCTTTGAGGTCAAGGCCCGTAGAGCTGGCATATTGCTTCTGAGCATCGGCGAGAATCGCAGCAAACTGCCGTTGTATGCTGTCCGAGCGCAACAGTTGCGCCTTCTCGTTATTCATGATGAGAGGATCGCGGAGCAGAAGATGAATGCGTAATTCGGTGCCTATCCGCACGATGCGTTAGGCAGAGATAGAATCTTGTGCCCAGATCGATGCCAGGAAAGAGACAAAAATGGACAAGTCGGCCAGGCGCAACGTAACTAACCCCCCAGTATCGGGCCTGTGAATAGGCCTAGGCAACGGGAGGAGTGCGGGAGCTGCCGAAGAGTCGCACTTGTTGAATCTTCATAAGAGATCGGGGGTGAGGATGAGGAGAACTCGGGCAGCGGTGCGACCAATCAGTCAGAGGCCAGAAAGCCAGGTTGGCCAGGCCAGGCCAGGCAAGCCAAGTCAGGCGAAACAAGGCGGTGAATGCAGGCCAATTGTCGCTAGCCGCGTGACAGCCCTGCCCAGGCCAGCGCATCAGCTCATTGGGGGCTGCCAGATGTCGCGACAAGGCGGCGTACTATAGTATGCAAGACTTCAGTAGCGTAGGAACCAATATGGACCCAACGAAGGCCAGGGCGATAGTCTGCGGGGTTGAGTGACACATCTGATCGCCATGACCGGATACGAAAAGGCCTTCAAGCAAGGGGACAGCCGCTGAGCCATATTGGACAGCCTTCTATTTTTTGGGAAGTAATTTACAAGGCTGACGAGTAGGTGGAATCAAGGGCGGTGCAGTTCCAGGCGCCACGGAATACTTACAACGATGTGAAAAAAGATAAGGAGGCAGAACCTGGAATTAAGAATGGGAATAAAAACAGGAACAAAGGCAGAATACTACGTACAAACGAGGCGGGGGTAAAAACAGGCACGCTGCGTCCTGCTTTGGTCTAAGCCGAAAAGGGAAGCGAGCTTACCGGCTGAGCGGACGGGTGGCTGACATAATCACCGAGTGGCTGGCGTATGGGGTTCGAGACCCGGGATCTGCTTCAGCCAATCAGCTACCAAACTTTACCGGATCCAAGCTCCGGGCCAGATCGAGTCTTTTGTCGCTTTTAGGGCCGCCATTACCCAATCACGTTGAATCACTACGCCGTTTGAAGGCGCTCCCGCTCGTTGATACCCCCTCCCCGTCCCTCGAGAATGGAGAAGGGAAGCTTGGAGAGGGGGGGAATCGATTCACCCCCAATTTTCAATGAAGGTTCGCCTGCTGGTCCTCAACATGATGTGACCATTGGTTTCTGATCCCGGACCGCATTAATAAAAACTGCCGGCGCACATTGCCAGGCACATCTCGTGCTGCGCTTCCCTTACAAAGCGTAGTTAGTGCGCAATTGGGTATCAACCGTTTTTGGACGAGTCGAGGCTTACCGAGAGCAGCGAGTCCGAACCTACCATCTGCTTTCCCTTACGCAATGCCGTCCTGCGCTTCCAATCTACCTGATTACCCTTGCGATAATCACTCTTCAAAGTCACTGACTCCAACTTTTACCCCTCCTCAATGTCTGCTTTCGACCCCTTGAATCCTCCGTGGGCAGTAAAACCTAGTTTGTCGTACTTTTAGATCACCAATACGCCACTAGTTCCTTTTCCAGTGTTGAATTTTGGGGACAGCCGCAGTCATACCGGTATGTTCAGAAATCCGCTGTTGCAACCTGGTTTCGAAGCGAATTATTCAAGTCGGGGATCTACCAACCCGGCGAATACATGGTTACGCCCCTGTACGGGCGAATGTGAAAGAGCCATCAGCCTTACTTCACTTCCTTGCACGTAGGATCATATTCCTATAGAGAGTCGTAGGATTGGCTGGATGAGGTCTGGTCTTGTGTGGCTTCGCCAACCCAGTATAACCCCTGGCCTTCTTTATAGCACCCCCGCGCAAGGTACTTCAAACTGAAGCATCGAACCAAATGGCTTAGATTGCCCGAGACTACGCGCTCGCAATCTCTTAACCTCTTCTTTTCGGGTATGTTTGTTTCCTGGGTCATCTGGAGCTTTGACCGCAGCCCTCAAGTTCTCTGTCCGCGTTGTGTTATGACCATGGCGATGATGACCGCTGTGGATAACATGTTGCCTTCATAGAGTATTGATCCGAGCCTTCGGGCGATGCGCCTAAGTACCATCGATTTATACGAAGTTATGAACAGGTACCAATCGACAATGTCGGGGCAAGCCCCGAGACGCAAGAAAACAGGGCACTGTCTTCGGCTATCTCCTTGTGTGTAGATGGGAAACACGCACTTTTCAATCATCTCGGAATGACCCTGTCATCTGAGAAAGGTTATTCCAATCGACTTCGATTCATAAGCAGATCCGGTTTGCTGCAGGTGGGTGAATGACATGGCCAATTCGGAACGCTGGTCATCGTACCTCGCCACTTCGAGGAATACACAATGAGCAGTGACACAAGGAAGCGGCAGGCCCGACGTCTCGAATGCTCTATTTCTTTACGGTTTTGGGTTGCTAGGGCTGGATGCGGCGAATAACGCGTGGTAAACCAGGCCGTCCGTCACATGCTGGCTAGGGGCTCTTATGGTTGTACGTAGGGTTAGGACGGACCCTGCACTATCAAACCGATTTTAACATGACCTAAGCACGACCTCCTACCTTTCCGGTATTGAATCCCAAATATGAAGAGCAACGGTGTTTTTTTAAACGAAAACCCCCTTCTTACAGGGCGGATGGCAGCGATCGCTAGAGTGGGATCCTGGAGGAACCTGCTTGGATAAAGCGTCATCGAAAAGGCTTATTGAGATTCGGTCATCGTACCACGGCGGCTAGGATTCTGGAAGAAAACAAGAAGCCAAGCTTGCAAAAGCTTTTCAAGTTGATAATGACTATACGCTTACTTTCGACATGTAGCGAAGAGAAGAGGAGGCACAATGCATGTCATCTAAAGCCGTTGTGGGAACTTGCTGAGCATGGACGAGGAACACAGTGTGAGTGATTTTCGAGTAACTCGTCAGGCCGCCATCCGCATGAGAATTTGTTACTTAGGTACTTGTATCCGCCTGGCCCCCTTGCCGCCACCAACACAATGCCTCACCCTCCACTTGTTTCTTAGACTCGGTGTATTGTGTGCCTGTGTGTGTACAGATAACCACGGCCGTTGAAGTCCTTCCCCTTGTTGCGCTTTCGTTCCCTACGCCTTCAACAAAAGCAGATAAGTATCAGCGATCGAGCACGGATTAGTATGAGGTCTTCTGCTCCTACCGGTGTCAACTTCCTTCGCTATTCCCCCAATCGATCCGCCGGCAAGTTTGCACCATCATCCCGGCCTCGAGACGCTCCCATCTCGAACCTCAGCAGCCCATGCAATCAGAACGCAAATACAGGAACATCCTTCCAGGTCCCCAACTACTTCCACGAAATACCTCGCCGACGACAATGGTGAGGCCACCTCTGGAGCTTCTGGCGGCCAAGAGGGCTCCAAGAGAAAGCGTCGAGCGACTACTAAGGCCTGCAACAGCTGTCGCGAGAAGAAGATAGGGGTATGTTCTCGTGCCTCAACCTTGCTCTTGAAACCTGAGTCTCCAGACGTGGCGCATGTGTGGGTTGTGGGTCGAGAGTGATCTTTGTCCGCCGCAACTCTATTCACTCTGGCCTTCGTGAACATACTTGGAAGAGCGTTCACGAATGGTGCTGAGGGGATATGTGCCACAAAAAGGCCTTTACTTCCCTCAAAAAACAATGGTCCCCTTTTTTCCGCTTCGCTTGCGATACTGACCTCACTTCCAGTGCAATAGCTTGCAGCCGTGCAGCCACTGCAAGCGCCGCGGTCTTGCCTGCGAATATGCCACCATATCCAAGACAATTCTGAATTCCATTCCCTCGGGTATGAAGTTGCTCGACGAGACTACAGCAAAGACTCATAAATATGCCGCCGAGCTACTCGGCCTCCTTCGTTCCGTGCCTGATGATCAGGTCCGAGACGTGCTTCAGCAGCTGCGAGCCGGAAGAGACGCCGGAAACATCGTTGATAGCCTCCGGGGACAGCTTCATTCCGCTAACGATGTTTCCTTCCACGGGCTTCTCCACGCGGTTCCTCCTCCTGAACAGACCTCCCTAGAGTTCGAGCTGATGGTGCGTCACGCCATTGCCTACTCACCCTGGGCTCCGACGGAACTTCCACATTTAGATTTCGACTTTGCGGTTAGAACCACTCCAACCGTCACCATTGAATCACCTTCAACAGGGTAAGTTGTTATTTGTTACTAAAGACATTATGAAATCATGGGCAGCTTTAAGCCATCCAGTGGTGGCTTTGATTACTATTGAAATCGGCTGCGTTGCGAGTTGTGGCGAACTTCAAGCTTGTTCTGGAAGACTGAACTCGGATGTAACTAGGCTCTCGCCAATGTCAACGGACACACCGTCTCCCCTCCCTCCTACGGAATCCGAGTCGTCGTCGTCCGCCGGCCGGACTCGTTTCATGCATGCGGACTCTAGAGATAGTAGCGTCAGTCTCAACTTCGGTTCTCAAAGCAAGCCCGGCAACCGGGAGACCTCGACGCTGGAATTCCCGCCTCTTTGTGACGAAAGGCTGCTAAACGCGGACATTCTGGCGTGGACGGGGGTAAAAATCCCCAGTCTAGCAGCTAGGAGATCCGTTTCTCTGTACCTGGAAACAGACCACGCGATTACGGCGCTATTCGACGTTGACCTATTTCTCGACGACTTGGTTTCGGGTGGGACGCGCTTCTGCTCCAGGCTCCTTGTCAGCTCCCTACTTAGTTGGGCTTGTGTGAGGCGCATTGCTCTTCTCGGAAAATTTGATTGACGAACGTACCCTAATACCGTGGAACAGCAGGCTTACACAGCATACGATTTGGAGGCGACCAATTGGAGCTATGCATTCTACGACGAGGCAAAACAGCTTTTGGATCACGAGACGGCAATGGGGTTGGCAACTCCGAGCACGGTGGCTGCTCTGCTCTACTTGAGCATGTCGTCAACCTGCCACGCAAAAAGTGCCACAGACGCTACCGAGCATTTGGACCACGCCATTGATCTTGCCAAAAGCATAGGGCTCTTTGGCATTGCCGACGAGGGAATGGCCGTGAGGTGGCCAGACGGATCTTCTGACTTTCTCTGGGAGAAATCACTAGCACAAACGGCCTGGGGTAGTTTTGTATACATCACGTAAGTTTTGTCGTTCGTTCGAGGCTTTGCAGAGAACTTGCTTTGCTGTGCATTCTGCGGGTAACAAGAGTGGTATTCGTCCACCCGACTTTTCCCCTTGAAAGCTAACATGATGACTTCGAAGAACACGATGCGCGCAAAACCAAACGTGCAAAGTAGCCTACCCGCCGAGAACGCCCATCCCAGGAGATGCAGACGACTTCGAAGACGCCAAATCCCCTGACAGACCACATTTCCCAGCCTACATGGGGACGACGTTCCCGCGCGTATGCAAACTGGCCCTGATTGCCCACGAGATGATTTGGATGAACTATGGCAATAGTTTGCGAGTGGGGGGCCACAGCATGGTCGCGCACATGGAGGTGCTTTATAGACGGTATTTGGAATGGGCCGACGGTTTGCCGTTGGAACTGGTACGAAGTGGAGACAGCATCCATCACGTTCTGCTCCTGCAGTAAGTAACCTTCTCGGAATCGCGTCGGAGACGAGAAGTCCCAAGTGTATGCAAGAACAAAAGCTAATGTGGGGTCGAAAACAGTATTTACTTCCACGCGTTTGTACTGGATCTCTTCCGCCCTCTGATTCAACACGGCGACGCGATGCGAGTCCGACTCGAGTCCTTTACCTCCCAGCAGGCGTCTCCCGAGGCCGTTTGCCTCGCTTCGGCAACTCAGCTAGGTCGGATCGCCATTACTTATCTCCAGAAGTGTAGTTCTGCATCCTACAGCTTCCTCTGGAGTACTGCGCTCCTTTACTCCGCAAACGCCACCCTTCGAGAACTAGCGAACGTCACCGAAAACTCCGAGAAGCTTGCCAACTTTCGCACATGTATTTTGGGTTACCAAAGGCTGCAGCGCCCTTTCCGGCTTTCGCAGGGAATTATCCGAAGTCTACTGTCGATGGCGTTGCGGGAAGGTCTGTTGGCGTCGTCGGAGGCCAGGGCGATTATCAAAGACTCGAACGAGAAGGCGAAGCACCATCGCGTGCAAGACGAAGTGCAGGCGCCGTTTATAGTTGATCTCGACCTTGCGACGGTAAATCCGGCGGCAGCGCATGTCGACAAGCTAGCGGCCGAGTTTGAGGAGCTGGCGATTTTCAACGAATTTACGGTGATTGCGTCGGGGAGGGAAGCGCCGGAAATGCCGAGCGAGGCTATCGGTTCCGACGCGGAAGTGTGAGACATTGGCAACCCAGATGGAGGACAGGAGGGTATCACCAGAGTCGAACACATTGCGCGGAAGGTCAAGACCCAGGGTGCGCTGCCAATAGGTATTCGCGAAGTCGCCACCGTCTTACAAACCCGTTGGTTATTGGGAGTCACCTCCGCCAGAGCCGATTCAGGAAGTGCATGGAGACTGGAGATCGAGCTTGGGCTATTGGCATTTTGGTCAATATGGAGTTGGCGTGGGTATGTTGGTGTTTGAAGACAAAAACGACTGGCAAAAGTACGTACGCAAGCAGTAAAATAATGAAGACCAGGCCGAAAGGCTGCAGCAAGAAACGTCTCGGGTGTTCATGGCTTTATAATTCTTTGCGTGAGTTCTCTCCAAGGGTTGTGATGGTTTTCTCTTGATTCGCGAGTGGGAGGTAAGGCATGTTACAACACTCAACGGACACAGATCAGGTACTTGGCAAAAACGGGATATACAATGTTTCGATTCGCATTTCCGCACCTTGGCAAAGCTGCTACGAGATTCAGCGGTCGGCCACGCCTTCTGTACCATGGCAGACACATTAACGCGCACTTGGACACGCTGGACATTCTCCTAGGCTGACAACGGCCGACATGCCTCTCTGTACCTGGCCAGACTCGAAGCGCGATTGACAGGGCAAGTTCGTGAACTAGATCCTCAGCTGAGGGTGACGCAAACCATCTTGGTGCTCAAGAGCTTGCTCAATGCTTTGGACAACAAAAGGGCATCAAAGGACACGGCACCGGGCTGTGGTCGTAGGCATCTCTAGGGGTATCTTGGTCTTTCGAAACTCCGCTTGGTATCATTTCTTTTCGTTTCTCGATCGTGATAGTGATTCGGGTTCTCGGGGTCGCGTTTGAGTTGCAGTGAAAGGCTCATCGAGTTGAGAGTTGTGTGGGAATACTGTTCATATCACGCGACGAAAGATAGTTAGGTTTGAATACTTTGCATGGGACGCGACGAGACAGAACGGTACGCCCTCTGATCCGTCCCAACACTTTATCGACCCTGTTCTTTCTACTAGCATACGTGTAAAAGCCCGCTGCGCGGTCCGTGTCCAAACAATACATGACAATAACGAACAAGAAGCGACTGAAAACGAGAGGATAAGGATTGGACAATTGCGAACTTGGGGTATATTGAAGAAGTAAGAGGTACTACGATAAGAGTTGGCAGAGCTTGGGAAAGGGGAGAGAGGGGGAACGCTATCGGGGGGGGAATGGATATGTACTTAACCAAAACCGGCACGTCATCGTTTGGCCATGAATAAAACCGGGGGAGACAGAACATGGCATGATTGCCATTTATCAATCCGGGCAGGGTAGAAACCGCGTCCCAGTGCTTGTCCATGAGATATGACAGCCAAATACTTGGACGATCACCATGACCATGGACGGAGGGGAACTGGAACAAATGCTCATCCACACCGACGGGGCTAGGCAAAGACCCTTCAAATATTTTATTTCGCCACCAGGGATCTCGGGGTTGCGTCCTTCTCTTCTCTAAGTCGCCTTGCCGGTGCAAGGTTTTGATCCCTTGCTAAAGCTTCAAAGGCCATTGAAGTGACGGCAGTGGGTGGTGTAGCGTCACCTCCAGCACCTGCAGAGTCGCCGTTTTAGGGTTTCCAGTGCGTCCCGTACCTGTCTACGCAAACAGCTCCCGGCTACCAAATCAGACCCTCCATCGTACAGGAGGGGTCCTTCGTGTGACCCCTCCAGATGTCAAGACTCCAATCATACGGGGCGCAAGAGAACAGTGAACCAAGCCTTACTTGACACGGTGTCTGCCGCCCATGGGTATTTGACGGCGCCCAACAACAACCCGCTATATAGAGAGTGAAGTGTGTGTAAGAGAAAAATCACGATACTCAGGCGCGGCGAGGGGGAGGGGCTATTGTGCCCAAGGAGGTGTTGTCATTGGCGGGTTAGTCTCCGGTCATTTATATTGGCTGGGAGGACCTCCGACTTGTACCCGAGACGTGATTGGTGGTCCTTGCCTTTGTGTTATGCTAGTAGAATGCTGTGGCTTTTACTGTTCCTTACCCGCCTCCCGCCATCATCAGCGCTGCCCGCGCCGGAGGGTGTTCCGGGCTTAGGGTGGCAATGATTGGGGCTTGATCCTGACGAGCCCGGGCGTGGGAGAAGTCGACTAACTAAGGCACTTCGGCCCCCAAGTAGCCAGTGCTGGATGCCAGTGGCATCCTTACTGTCTGCTCAACCTGTTTCACTTCTGCGTGCTCAAGCCTACTTCCACGTGTGACCCAAGGTTAATCTTCCCGGAGTCGACTCCGACACCCAACCGCCTCCCTCCCTTGAGTCCAAGCTTCTATCCACATTGTCGACACAATTTTCAGGGCCTCGTGAGGGCAAACGAATGCATCCAGCGACCATTGCTCCGCGTCAGGGTAGCAATCTTCGCACATGCTTCCCATGCCCTGAGGACCGCTGAAAACTCCCTTGACATTGTCTCGACCTTCTGGCCCTTCTGGCCCTTCAGCGCCCCCTGCCCGCTTCCCAAGGATTGGATCAGATGATGCGGGATTACCTTTGTCAGCATCCAACAGTTGCTCTCGCGAACAAGCCTCCCAAGAGTTGCAGGGATTGGCGCGACCCTGTAAACGTTACCAAGATTGAATGCTGGAGGGTCGATTCCCAGAGTTCCAGTTTGCGTTCGGGAAGGGGGAGCTGAGCACGACTCATTGCCGTTCATAGCCCGATGCTACCCAACCGTTCAGTATCCAGATGACAGAGAAGAAAATTCAAGGACCCTGAGCTGCCGTGTAGGTTTCTGAAAATAAATTCTTCCCCGTTCCTTCTCCCTCTCTTTCTTCCAGCTCGATATTGACGTGGCTGAACTTGCTTTTACTTCTTCACCTTCCCCCAAACCCCCCTTTTACCCCCAAGGGTAAATATGGATGAGTGTTCTAAATGACTTTACTCAGTGCTGCACAGCCAATCCTTGTTCAAAGGTCGCTATTATGATGGTCGTCACAGGTTGATGGTACAGATGCCGATGCTCGTCATGTTGGCTTGTTCCCTTTGCTAGGTGGTCTCAATGGACATCGCGGTATCCTCGATGGCTGACCAGGAATACAGACTTTCTTAGACCGTAGTGTCCGCTGACATTGTCGAAACTATGACACTCCCGTCCGCTTCAATCGAAAGAACCCGCTGAGCGCGCCCATCAGCTGCGGCAGCCCTTTTTCATGGCTATCGCCATTCAAACCACCCCGAATCCAACCTGGAAGTTTCCCCCGGATCCTGTCCGTCCCATACCTGCGATCTACGAGTACAATGGCCGCATAGTCCCCCTGATGCCGGATGGCCCGGCCGATACTCTGGTTCACGGCCCTCATGCACGCGTTCTCGTAAAAGTCCCTGGCCGTCTGCTTCGCGACCGCCAGTGCCTCGTCTCTCGGCATCTTCGTAGTTCCCGACGGGTCTGTCAGTCGCTGGACGGTCGTAGTCTCGATGTACTCCGTCTTGGCCTTCCACTCGGGAGAGTTGATGTTAGGGTACGGCAGGCCCACAATGACAACGCAGCGGCCCAGGCGGTCCGAAAAGTTGATGCCCTCGCTCATCTTACCGCCAACGACGCTTAGCAGCAGAGCGCCGCGAGGCTTGGCTGCCGCCCCCGGTCTCGAATCACTGCCGTCACCCAAGATGACCTGGCTGTACGCCTCCAGCACCTCGTCGCTGGAGCCGCCGCGAGTCTCGCTGAAGATTTGCTTTCTCTGCTGAATTCGATCCCAAAGCGACGTGGCGCCCTTTGAATTCGGACTCTTCCACGCAGCGACCACTTCCTCCAAATATCCGTAGCTAGGGAAAAACACGACGACGCCATCGGGAACGACATTGCACATGTTGAAGATGGTCAACCCAAGGTTGCTCTTCATCGCCGTGTCGCCCCTTCGTTGGAAGCTGAATTCATAAGTAGCATCGATGGACCGACTAGGACCCGGTTGCGACCCTGCCAAGGTCCATACGCATAGGTTTGACGGTGGAATGACGTGGCCGCAGCTGAGTGTCGTGAGCTTCGATTCCGGTAGATATGGGAAAAGATGCGACTTGTAGTCGTCAAAAGGAGACATGGTGCCGCCTGCAAGGATGACGGCTCTGGCACTCGTCGCGATTGACGAGAACGCGTGGGTTGGGGATAGCAGAAGGTACGAGAGCTGTATGTCTGACGGATCAGTCGCCGGCTTTTCGTAGAATATGCGGCCCTCGGAACTGAGGTTGGTAAGAGAGATGAGAAAGGAGGAAAGGATATGGAGGACTGGCGTGGATGATCTCGGAGGTGCCTTGCCACGGCTGGCGTCAGCCGCTTCCTCTTCGACATGTGCCACGTAACTCTCGATCTTGTATGCCAGCTTCGACTCTTGGATATACTGGATCAACCTGAACAAGTTGATCTGATCCACGCCTTTGCAGCGGAGGAGGATTTTGGAGTCCACGATGCCTTGAGTACTCTGCGGGACAGTTAGTGGCAGAAAAGCAGAGAGCGAGTACAACAGCATACCTTGAGCTTCGATTGCCCGTCCATCCACTCGCTGAGACCTTCAATTACCCTGCCCACCTGTCCGACCATGACACGGTTCTCTCCCTTCAGCTTCTTGCCAAATCTCTTAACGTAGACGCCGAGCATCTGCCGCGCCCGTCTCAATTCGCTCAACTTGACCTCGGACGCATAGACATTGGCCACCGCGTCCATGATATTGTGCGCCTCGTCGACAATCACAACGTTGCCCTCCAGCTTGATGCCAAGAGCGTCTCGCGCGTTCTTCTGCAGGAGCAAGGGGTAGGGCAGAGTGACAATCTCGGCGCCCGCGATTGCCGCTCGTGAAGCGTAGTACGGGCACACGGACAGCTTCTTGCCGAGATGATACAGATCCTCGATATCAGGCAGGGTGGCGTGGGCAGTGTCCCTGAACTGGTGCGTCTGGGCTATGTTGTCTTCCTTCAGCGTGTAAGGGCACTTGTCCTTCGATTTTGGTTTCTGGAGCTCCGAGCACCGGTCGTTGATGGCTGAGAGACTGCCTAGGCGTGCCACAGACGGGTTGATGCACAGCTTTTGGCGTGATGATAGGGGCAGGTGTTTGACTGGCTCTTTGGCGAGCTGCTCGTCTTCACTTTGACCTTGCACGATTGAGGACGGTATGGACGACGGAAATGTGGGCCGGCGCAGTTCATGGATGAATTGTGTGAGTTGAGAATGCGTTCTTGACGTATAGTATATCTGAGGAAAATCATGTTACCAACGTGCCCAGCAGTAACAGGGGCTCTGCGCACCTTGATCCCGTCCGCGACTTGGTCCTCCTCTTGGTCCGTTCTGAGATTCCCCAGACCGAACTTTGTCAGGATGTCCTTGGTCTCCTTGCTGAGACCGCTCATGGCGTCTCCGTCGCCTGGGCCAGATGCATCTGGTTCATCAAGCAGCCACTCATCGTCTTCGTCAGTATCACGGAGCCTCGACCTCGAGGGCCCTTCATCGAAACGGCGTCGCTTGGCGCTGCGGGCCTCAATGTCCTTCTCTCTCTGACGGATCTGCTCCAGTTTCTTCTCTCGCTCCTCCCAAGTCCGAGCTAGCTCCTCTCTCTTGCGTCGCAACATTTGCTCCACGATCCAATCCGGCTCATCCTTGAAGTCGTCCAAGTTGACTCTGAGAGATGCCTCGTGCTCCTCGACACGCTGATTCCGAAGCCATGTCAACGAGGCGCATATCAGGGAGAGAGATTTGCCCTGCACAGGAGTCAGTATGCAGACACGGCCGCATTCAAGTTTTGGTTGGCTCTTACGGTGCCCGTCGGACTCTCCAGAATGCCGACCTGTCCATTACCACGTTGTAGCACGCTGTAAGCGGCTTTCATGAAGTCAGTCTGTACATCATAGGGCGTATAAGGGTGATGAAAGTCAATGCCATCAGGGACAGGCAAGTCCGTGTCGCCGACTAGATTGTCAGCCATCATAGAAAACAACTTCACGTTCCTCTCGTTAATAAGCCAAGGCAAATGAACTGGTACTCCGACGTGTCGGTCACAAGTTTATTTGGTATCAACAACGGCATATACCGGCGGGTGGGGCCGTATCGCCAGGGGTGATGCCGCTTAGGAACGGAAAACACAGATTTGAGCTGACGAAAGGCTAGGAAGGGGAAATGGTCTAACCTCACCTCGGTGTGAAAGCTGCATGGTCCAGCCATTCGGTCAACTGGGCCAGGTGGACCAAGACGCAGAGTAGAAGCGATTACCTAAGCCGACAGTGGAGAGGAAGGACAGTGAAGAAAACTAAGCACGGGCCATGTAGGGTTTGCCCTCCGGCCCGCTTAGCGATTTCCCGAAGCTACGCCGACGCGCAGAACAACCCTCACAAATTCCTTTTGTCCCGCGAACTTTTGCGAAAAGAAGTTCCCTCAGCGATACTAACCCCAAGTCGACCACCCCAACAGCCGTCGCCATGCCTACCCGATTCTCGCGCACCCGCAAGCAGTACGTTTCATGATCCCGTCCCGCTCCGATGCAATAATTCAGGTCCACGTCGTCGCGGCGGCGGCGCGCACTCGCTCGCCCATTCGAGCCGATACGAGTTGGGCGGCGTTGTCGTCGTTCGTCCGTTGATGGATATGGAACCTTGAAGAAGGAAAAAAATATTGTTGTGCAGGCGCGGCGGTAGAGGGGGACAGCATGTTGAAAACAAGGGCGTCAACATTGCTTCCCCAGCAAAAAGGAGGACACCATCGCACATGACCGTCTCTCTCGAAAGAGGGTAGACGGTCATGGATGGACACCACCAACTCTGCCGTCTGCGATCCTGGGAGAAATGTCTTCGTTTCCAAATGTACCCGGAAGCTGACTTTCTCTTCTCTCCAGCCGCGGACACGTCTCCGCCGGTCACGGACGTGTTGGCAAGCACCGCAAGCATCCCGGTGGTCGTGGTCTGGCCGGTGGTCAGCACCACCACCGTACCAACCTTGACAAGTACCACCCTGGTATGTCCATCTGTTGCCTCGCGAGGAAATTCACTCGATGGCTAACATTTTGACAGGTTACTTCGGTAAGGTCGGTATGCGCTACTTCCACAAGCAGCAGAAGTATGTACTCCCCGAATCCGACTGGTGCCAGGCTCCCGGCCCTTTGCGGTTCTAGACGGTGTGGTCGAATTCGACTGGGTTGCGTTCGACGCTCCTCGATCATTCTAGACGCCCACTAGCATGGAAAATGCTGTTCGGGTACCCACCGTCGGAACGCACAGCACTCCAGAGCCGCACCAGAGGATCCCTTCGGCCTCGTCCCGTACTAACCATTGGCAGCCACTTCTGGAAGCCTGTCATCAACCTGGACAAGCTCTGGACCCTCGTCCCTGCTGAGAAGCGCGAGGAGTACCTCGCCAACAAGGGCGACAAGGTCCCCGTCATCGACCTCCTCCCCTTCGGCTACTCCAAGCTCCTCGGCAAGGGCCGCCTCCCCGAGGTCCCCATCGTCGTCAAGGCCCGCTGGGTTTCCAAGCTGGTCAGTATTTCCGTCACTCAACCTTGTGCCCCCCGAACCGCCGTCTAACCCACTCCCCAGGCTGAGAAGAAGATCACCGAGGCCGGTGGTGTCGTTGAGCTCGTCGCGTAAATTCGGTCAACACCTCACGGAGGGTTCCGCGCATTACAACACAATGAATGTAGCTTGGGAATGATTGGCCATGCAGCCACGGAAAGAGCGGGCGGCGTACCGCGGAAATCAACGCAACTTTTGCGTTGCGCTTGGCGAGAAAAGGACATGGGAAAAGGCCCCAAAGGGGACACGGCTTTTCGCATAGCATGAAGATCAGAATTCCCAAGGGACTTCTACCGAATACAAAAAAGGCTCTTCAAATCGATCAATCATGGCGTCGTAGCATCACTCTGGTGGTTTGGTCTCGTGTGTTTTAGTGGCGTCTCTGGGACATCAAAAGGCAGGACGGACGGGAACGATTAAATGGTATTACTTTACATCGACTTGTTCTTGTCTCTGTTTATGTGTGTTTGTGCTTGTGTCTGTGTCCGTGTCCACTGAGTCTTTGCCTCCCAATGCGCCCGACACCCCTCCCAAGTCTCGCGTTGTTGGAGCATGCCAACGTTCGCGTCAAAATCCATGAACTCCCCATCTCCATTATGCATCGTCTAATTGTACACACGCATGCCTGTGGAGAATGTTCCCTCACTATAATGTAAGACGCATCATCTCTTGTTGGAAGACATTATCATTACGCCTGCAGAATATCCATCTCGTCATCATCCTCGACATCGGCAACCTCCACCGACTGCTTAGGTTGGGGCTCCCGGAGAAACTCGTGCTCCAGTGCCTCCTTGGCACTGATGCGTCGGGCCGGGTCGAGCTCCATGCATCTTTCCAAAAAGTCGACGGCCAACTTCTCCTCGTCAGTCAGGGGGATGCCCGGCTGCCCGTCCTTGCCGCCGTCGGTGCGGCATGTGGACCAAAGGATGATCTTTCCCAGTGAGAAGCCGGCGCTGCCCACGGTGGGTATGTTTGTCTCGAACATGCAGCCGTGCAGCAGGCCGGCCTGCTTCATACGCTTGACGCCGAAGATGGTCGCTATCTCAATCATGGCCTCGACGTCGTCAGCGCTATTGAAAAAGGGAAACCGCTTGCTCATGATGGTCAGGAGAATGACGCCGGCTGACCAGATGTCGATCTTGGTCGTCTGCTCCGTGCACTTGAAGAGCACCTCGGGGGCACGGAAGCCGCGCGTGCCGGCACGATTTGCCCTCCTCGACGGCCGAGTGTCCGTCTTGGGATAGCCCTGCTGGGGGCCGTTTTGTGATGCCGCGCTGCTGTTGATCCTCTGCTTGCGGACTTCTCGGCTCTCATGGCACAAGCAGGGTTTGCTGTCGGAGCCCTCGCGTTCGGCGAGACCAAAGTCGACGAGCACGCCGCGGCGGGACTGGGGGTCGTAGAGGAAGTTGGTGGGCTTGATATCGCGGTGCAGAATCTTGTGGTCGTGGACTGCCTTGAGTGCGGTGAACAAGCTACGGAGGTAGATGGCCATGTCCGAGACCTTCATCTGGCGGAAGTAGTCGCGGAAGTCCTCATGGCGGAAGTAGGGAAGAATGGCAATGACCTGGTCGGTGGAGCGGAAGGCCGTGATCAGGGGACACACAGCAGCGCAGTTCCTCAAGTCGTGCAGCAGCTCGAGCTCGTTGAGAATACGCGTCGGGGATGAGGTGACGTAGATCTTCTTGATGGCGACATAACGGGCGCGTCGGCGCGGTTCGCGTGATGTTGACGTGTGACTGCCGTAGCGCTTCAGGGGCGGCGGCGTCCACTTTGCAGCGGGATTATCCCTCTCTTCAAGGTCCCAATCGTTGTCGTAGCGGTCGTACTGGATGTCTTCTGCTTTGTAGACGGTCGAGAAAGTGCCTGGGGCTGGATGTTAACAAGCAAGCACGCAGGGTGCCGGGAAGACGGAGGGAGCGCACCTTCGCCAATTCGTTTGATCAGACGGTACTTTTGACGGAAGCCAGGAAAGGTATCTTGCAGACGGTCCATGTCGCGCTGGACGCCCGAGTCGACGACGTCGTCCTCGTCAGAGCTCTCGTCTGAGCGGTCGTTGTCGACATCGTCGGCCTCCTCCTCCTCCTCGTCGACCTCTTCGGTATGTTGCTCGGAGTCGGCCATCATCTCTGTGTCTTCGGTGCGGGCGTGCGGGGGATCCTCGTGAATTTCAAAGGCCTCACGGCTTCGTTTGCGTGTCGCCGTGGCCATGGAGTGTGAGGGTGGTCGAGACTCGGCGGTCATTGGGCGGTGGGCCAATCGCAGGTCTGCGGGAGCGGTGGGTGCGTCTGCCGGGGCATGGGAGGGAGAGGGGGCACGGCGAGAATTCGAGACAGTGTCTGGGGCGTTGGACTGGTGGTGTCGCGGTGGTTGAAGTGGTTGCGGAGGCCGTTGCGGTTGCGGCTGTGGCTGTTGGGGTCGAGCGCGAGTGTGCGCGTGTGGTTGTGGTTGCGGTGGTGGTGTTGTTGGTGGTGGATGTGTCGGTGCTTGGTGTGTTGTCGGTGGCGTCGCCCAGTCGTGTCGGTGCCAGGCCTGGACGTCAAGGCCCTGGCCGAAGCGAGTCAATTGATCGATGGCTTCCAAATTGGGTTGACTGAAGCCAGCTGAGGAATCCCGCTGGGACGAACACTGCGTCATCCGAGGCGGGTTTTGAGGGGACAAAGAGGGAGAGGGTTTCTATGGTCCAACGCAAGAGGGTGTGGTGTTATTCGTGTCAACCCAGTCAGTGAGTGAGGTCGGTTCGTCAGAGTATACGGCCGGGGCAGTAACACCAACAGCAGCAACAACAACAGGAGGAACTGGAATAGCACTGCGGCAGCCAGTGTTGGTTGGGGGGTGTTGCAGGGAGCCGCTGCCAGTCGTCTTGATTGGTGTCTTGGGGGATTCTGGCGTTCCTTTTTCCTGCAGGTGGCATCTCCTATTTGGCTCTTCTGGGAGTATTTTTTTTTTTTTCTGCCGTCGGTTTTCTCAGTCAATAGAATCTTTTCATGTGTCCCATTTCTGATGCACCAAGGCGGGCTCGCAGCTGCTTTCTAAAGGCTCTAGACTCGGCCGGTGGGAGGGGCGGCGCTGTAACCACCTGCCGCCAGTTTGCGGTGTGATGGTCCCTGGAAAGGCCCAAACAATACGCATGCTGACCAATCATCTTTGGCAGAAACGACCCCGCACCTCCGATAATTGGAGACGACGCAAAGAGGAAAAAGACCCGGTCGCGTCCCAGACGAAAGAAAACAATAAACAAAATCCCACCATCCGTTGCTAGGCGCTTTGCCCTCCGTCATTGGCCATTGTCTGTGTTTCTGGCCGTTTATCCCTATTGTCTGTGTGCCTAACTGCCGCAAAAAAACATTCAAGGCATACACGCACGCTATCGGCTCGACATCGTCAACATCACACAGTCCGACCGCCGACTGCGCTTCTTCCGACCTTTTCATCTTTTTTTCTCCCTCCTACTCCTCCTTTCCGGCGCGGCGCATCCCCTTACTAACCAAGCACGGCGGCTATTCCGCAGCAACTCGGCTCTCTCGGACGCACAACTGGTCCCATCGCCCCCTCTTCTGCAGTTTGACCTTTGCTTGGTCCTATTTCTTCGTCTTCATTCTCTTTCCTCCCGTCTCCCCCGCCTTTTGATCGAGTTTCGTCGCTGGGTGCGCACACCTCAACCAGACCGCAGCCATGGACTCGGTCGCATTCGACATCAACGATGCTCTCAAGCATTACATGAGTGATCCCGCCAGCATCCCGACGCCCGAGGCAGATGGCTCCCTCTTCGACTACGAAAATGACCCCGAAGGTCTTACCGCCGCCGTCGTCAACCCGGTCCTCAACCCCATCGTTGACGCCGTCGCCGAGAACCCCGAGGCCATCACCCGCAGCGCCCATCTCGACTCGCTGCAATTCCTTCTAAAGTGCGCACCCATCTCCCTTCATCCTTCAGACCCCTCCCTTTCATCGTCTTTCCACTCCTCCAGGCCCCAACATGACCATGACCATGACCCCTCACAAGAGCTTGATTCTGAACTGTTCAAACCCTCCAGGTATACCGCCTTCCTGCCGACGCATGCCCTCAGCAAGATCTTCGACCTCGTCATGTCCGGCCTCGCCGCCGAGGGCGATGCCATAAACCACGACCTCGAGTCCCCCGACGAACAGGAGACCCTCGCTCACCACAAGCAGCTTCTTGAGATCTACGGCTTCCTTTTGCAATGGACCATCGCCGCCGCCGAGACCAAGGCCGCCGAAAAATCATCAACAGCGCCCGTCGCCAGAGGCCGCGGGAAGCCCAAGAAGAATGCGCCAAAGCAGGACGGCGTCTGGGACTCGGCAACACAGCTGCAGTCCGCTCTCGACATCATGAGCAAGGTCCTCAAGCTGAAGCTATCCAAGATCTTCCTGACCACCTCGGAAAGAGACACCTTTATCGGCCTGCTGACCCGCCCCGTCTACATGATCCTCGAGAGCGAGCAGCGCGTCAAGAGCACATCCATCCGCATGCACGCCTTCAAGGTGCTCTGCATTGCCGTGAAGCACCATGGCCACGCCTATGGTAGGTTCTGCGACGCCGCACCCTGCGCCGGTCTTGAAACTGACATCACACAGCGGCGCAGATTTCCATTGTCCAAAACTTAACCTATTTTGAGCACCTTTCCGAGCCCATGGCCGAGTTCCTCTACATTCTGGCAGAGACCTATGACTACCCCCAGCTGGCCGACGAAATCCTGCGCGAGCTCAGTAACAAGGAGTTCAACACAAACGACACAAAGGGCCCCAAATCCGTCTCCCAGTTCGTTGTCAAGCTCTCTGAGCTGGCCCCCAGACTCGTCATCAAACAAATGACCATGCTCGCGAAGCAGCTAGACAGCGAGGTAAGAATGCCGTTTCCTCTTGGCGGAAACTAGTTCTGACAGTCCTAGTCTTACACACTGCGCTGCGCCCTCATCGAGGTCTGCGGAAACATGATTGCCCACCTGGTCAAGCAGGACGAGCGTGGTGAGAACCACAAGTCTCAACTCAACGCCTTCTTCGACGTGTTGGAGGAGCGATTCCTCGACATAAACCCCTACTGCCGATGCAGAGCCATTCAGGTCTACGTCAAGCTGTGCGACCTCGAGCAAAAGTTCCCCAAGCGACGCCAACGCGCTGCCGAAATGGCCTGCAGAAGTCTCGAGGACAAGAGCAGCCACGTCAGGAGGAATGCCATCAAGCTTCTTGGCGCTCTGATCAAGACACATCCATTTACCGTCATGCACGGCGCCCAGCTTTCTCGCAAAGACTGGCAAGCGCGTCTTGACAAGGTTGACGAAGAGCTCAACGCATTGCAGCCTCCCGAGGGAGCCCCTGGTCTTGGCGAAGGAGCCAACACCACCGTCGACAATGAGCTGCTAGACGAAGCGACGCAAATTGAGCAGTCCCCCAGAAGCCCATGACCGACGAGCAAAAGTTCGAGGCGGTTCGTAAGGCGCGGGAGGAGGCTGCCACGTCCGAGGCCATCGAGAAGCTCACTCTCACCAAACGATACTACTCCGAGGCCTTGAAGTTCATTGACGTCCTCCACGAGGCCACCGGCACCGTCTGCCAGCTGCTTGGCTCCCGCAACAAGAGTGAAGTCATCGAGGCCATGGACTACTTTGAGATTGGCGATGCATACAACATTGAGCAAAACAAGGTCGGCATCCGCCGTATGCTGCGTTTGATCTGGACCAAGGGCAACAGCGACGAGGGCAAGGGCGTCCAGAGCCATCTCATCGATGTCTACAAGCGTCTGTTCTTTGAGGCCCCCGACTCTTTCAGCTCGAACGATGCGGCCAACTTCATCGCCCGCAACATGATCAGTCTGACCTTTGGTGCCACCCCGGCCGAGTTGACGTCGCTGGAGCAGTTGCTCAGCACCATGATGAAGCAGGGCTTGATTCCCGAAGTTGTCATTGCCAAGCTCTGGCAGGTGTACGGCGTACAAAAGCGCGAGATCTCCAGGACGCAACGTCGTGGTGCCATCATCGTGCTGGGCATGCTCGCGACTGCCAACCCCGAGATCGTGGTTGGGGAGATGGAGACTATGCTGCGGACTGGCTTGGGCTCTCACGGCCGTGCCGATCTCCAGCTGGCCAAGTACACCTGCATTGCTCTTCGCCGGATCAACCCCACCGGCCGACAAGCAAAAGAATCTGCCGTCAAGTTCTCCAGGCTGCCAAACGACCATGCTGTTCTGTCCAAGCTGGCCTCCATCACCGAGGTTCCGTCCGAAAGCAAGGAGTGGTATGGTGTCGCTGAGCAGGCCATCAATGCCATCTACGCCATTTCCAAGCACCCTGACACCCTCTGCTCCGACATCATCCGCCACAAGACCAAGCAAGTTTTTGCTGCTCCTCAGTCGCGAGCAAGCTCTCAGCCTAGCTCGCAGCCAAGCTCCAGGCCAGCGTCGCGAGATGAGAGTCAGTCTGTGCAGACGGACGAGGACGGAAACGAGACGATCGTTCCCCCTGCGTCGCAGCCGAAGAAGCGCGACGCCGCCATCGGTCTGTCCCAGCTTTTGTTTATCGTCGGCCACGTTGCTATCAAGCAAATTGTGCACCTGGAACTCTGCGAACAAGACTTCAAGCGCCGTAAGCAGGAGCAGGAGAAGGAGAAGACCGCCGACAAGTCGACGGCCCAGGCAGGCAAGAAGGACGAGCCCGATGACCTGGACCTCATTGGCGGCACGACCGAGGACGACTTCACCGAGGCCATGGCCCACATTCGTGAGCGAGAGCTTTTGTTCGGCCCCGAGTCTCTGCTGGCACAGTTCGGACCTCTGGTGTCGGAAATTTGCGCCAACAACACCACGTATGCCGACAAGGGGCTGCAGGCTGCTGCCACTCTCTGCCTCGCCAAGCTCATGTGCGTCAGCTCCGAGTACTGCGAGGCCAACCTGCCGCTGCTCATCACCATCATGGAGCGCTCGACCGATGCCACCGTCCGCTCGAACGCCGTCATCGCTCTTGGTGACATGGCCGTGTGCTTCAACCACCTCATCGACGAAAACACGGACTTCTTGTACCGCCGTCTGGCTGACAAGGACCAGTCTGTCAAGCGTACTTGCTTGATGACGCTGACCTTCCTCATTCTCGCCGGTCAGGTCAAGGTTAAGGGTCAGCTGGGTGAGATGGCCAAGTGCCTCGAGGATGAGGACCGCCGCATCGCCGACCTGGCAAGGATGTTCTTCACCGAGCTCAGCACCAAGGACAATGCCGTCTACAACCACTTTGTCGACATGTTCAGCTTGCTGTCCGCCGAGAAGAACCTGGAGGAGGAGAGCTTCCGCAGGATCATCCGGTTCCTCCTGGGCTTCGTCGAGAAGGACAAGCACGCCAAGCAGCTGGCCGACAAGCTCGCGGCCAGGCTCACCCGCTGCGAGACGGAGCGCCAGTGGAACGACGTTGCTTTCGCCCTGGGACTGCTGCAGCACAAGAACGAGGAGATCACCAAGACCGTCTCCGAGGGCTTCAGAGTCGTCCAGCTCCAGGCGTGAGGGGACGGTGCAAAGGCGTTGTAAGCTGGCCTTGTGGCCGTGTAGTACTAGGGTCATGGGTCGGCGTTGGCGGTTCTTGTTGGATCTGGGTGGTGGGCTGCTTGACTTGCGTCACTTTGGGTATACCACTGTATGGATGATGAGACTTAATGACGTTGATGAATTGATTTTGATCATATTACTTTTTTTCCCTCGTTGGGTGTGGAATTGTGCGACTACGTTCCAACTAAGCTGTGACTGACTGGTCATCGTGTCTGATTATAGATTACAGCTCGGTAGAGACTGAGGCCCTCTTAACCTCCTCTACCCCTGGAGTTCCTGCGTCAGCACAAACGCATCGCCTCCGTTGACCTCGAACTGTGTCGCGTTCCTAACAGCACCATTGACACGGACAACAGACCCATTGAGCCCCTTCGCCAACGGCTGAGGCAGGTACACCATCCCCTTGGTACCGGCGGGACTCTCAACCTCCATCCGCAACAACCCATCCTCGAACCGCCAATCAACACGCACGTCCCCGCGCGCCGTCGGATACCGGCCGCGAGCCCACGCCAGCCCCAGCGTCTGCGGCTCGACCTTCCACTCGGCGAAGCCGGGCTTGGCAGGCTGCACGCCCAGGACAAACTTGCTTAGTTCCGCCGTCGGCCCCGCGGCCCACCCGTGGCACAAGGACGTCACGGTCCCCAGCCCGGGCGCCCCGTCGGCGTCGAGTGTCTCCCAGAAACACCCCGTGTAGTTCGCATGGGTCGGGTCCGCCATGGGGGCCCAGAGGGTCTTGAGGAGGGCCTTTGCGGTGGGCGCGTCGCGCGAGGCGAGCGCGGCGCGGAGGTGGTAGGCCGAGGCGTAGGGGCTGATCTTCTTCGCGAAGCCGGACGCGGCGGTGGAGGGGGAGAAGGCGAGGGGTCCGGCGGGGAGGAGCAGGGCGTCGGAGAGGGTGGAGAGGACTCTCGGGGTGACGTCCGGGGATGGGACGCCGGCAAGGATCGCGAGGGCGTTGGCGTCTTGGGCGAAGCCCGTGGTGAGGGTCTCGGACATGACGTAGGCGCCCAGGTCGTCGCTCCAGAGGTTTGCGTTGATGGAGGTGCGGAGGGCCTCGAGCCGGGATTGGTATATCGTGGTGTTCACGCCCGCGTCTTGGAGGAGGAGTAGGGATTGCTGCAGGGAGTAGGCGTACACGGCGTTGAACTTGGTCACGGCGCCGGACTGGACCGGGTCGTAGTAGTTCCAGTCGCCACCAAAGGACGCGTCCGAGACGTTGAAGAGTCCGTTGGGGAGGGTCTGGGAGTCGGCCCAGTCCAGCATCTTCATGACGTGGGGCGCCCACTGCTTGGCGAAGGTGAGGTTGCCTCTCATCTCGTAGTTCTGGGCGAGGGCGGTGACGAAGTTGAAGGAGTAGCCGATGAGCCCCGTGATGTTCACGTCCAACGGCGAGGCCAGCGGGGCTTGTTGGATTTTGGCGGTTGGGATGAAGAAGCCCGGCGACGCTTGGTACGAGCCCAGGAGGTCGAGGGACCCGTCGATGAAGGGTGTGCCGTATGTGCTCGCAAAGGCGGCGCCGACAGCCACGTCGAGGTCGCCCGTGTACGCGATCCTGTCGCGGCGCGAGCCGTCGACAATGGTGTCCGCCGGGTTCGTGCCCATCATGAAGTCTGCCAGGAAGGAGGGCGACGTCAGCGGGTTGGTGTAGATGACCTCGCCGGTGGGCGTGCTGGCCGTGAGGTTGCGGAAGTAAGCCGCGTGCCCGAACGAGGCGCCGAGGCCGAAGGAGCCGAAGAACCGGGCTGTTTGGGTCAGGTTGAGAACCGGGAGCGAGTCGAGGGTGACTGTGACAGACGGCGTGGCGACGTCGATGTGGACCGCGTGCCAGGTGTCGAGGGCGACGCTGGAGGGAAGAGGGGATGTTGCGAGGAGGGCATCCAAGGTCGTTGAGCCGGCGTGCGCTGTGACGGTGTTCTGGATCAGGTCGAAGGAGATGTAGACGCAGCTGTTGAGCGTATCACATAGCGCTGCGACTCCGAAGCCGCCTTTGACGGGCTTGACCTGCACATCGACACGGTAATTGAGGAGCTGAGCGGCAACTGCGCCAGCCAAGGCCTGAGGAGCCTGGCTTTCGGCATAGGCTCCCTCCTCGGTGACCTGGAGGAAGTCGGGGATGGAGTTTTTGGGGATCTCGGTGAGCTGGACCGTTCTTGCGCCGACTTTCCAAATGCGCGTGAGGTCTTCATCAGAGCACTCGAAGGAACCGGGGAGCCGAGTGAGGGGCGTGGTGGATGTCGTGGGCTTGACGCCGATGTTGCGGAGTTGCAGAGACCCTGCCGTTGAGAGATTGAGCTTCTGGTAGCGGAAGGCGCCTTGGATGAGGCGGTTTGTGATGACGGATGGGCTGGTAATATTGTACTGGTTCACTCTGTAATTGTCCATAGCCGCGGCGAGGGGTAGGGGGCCGTCGCTCTGTGCTGTGTTAGTCGTCACGTTTGCAACTCAGAGGGTATCAGGGCTGGTCACCATGTACAAGTCGAGAACAGCCTTGCTTTCTGCATATGAGATCTCAAGACCAGAGGTATTGCCAGAGGTAGAGACCACCTCGAATGTAGGGTGACCTTCTACATTTTGGCCGTAATCGAGAACCACGATAGCAGGAGCTGTGCCGTCGGAAATGAGAGTTGTACTGTCGTTGGTCCCATAGATGACGGTTCCATTCTCAAAGAAGTCTTGCGTCGACTTAGGGACGATCACGGGCCTCTGAGATGTAGGAAGGGCATTGGCCAGGCTGATCAAGCCGGATAAGGTGCCAGTTAGGATGGTCCTGAATCTAGGTGATAATACCATGATGGCGAAAGTACAATGGAAACACGGTTGAGCTAAAGACTGACGATGGTAAGAACGAATGTAAGTCGGAGGATGCAGTCATTTCTTGAATAAAAAAACTATTCTCTACGAGTCGTGAAGCGGTCTTATATTCGTTTTTACTCCCATAGGTTCCCCTGAGGCCAAGGTCAATCCCTTTTCGTTCATGTCCAAGGCTCGACGTGTTAGTCAAAGAAGCTTTAGTTGGGGTGATTTGTGGGGAACCCCACATACGACTGCCGCGGGAAGCTCGCACCCAGCCGAACCCGCGGACCGAGAGGTTATACGAGGGTACAAGATGCCTGTCTGCCTGGCTGAGCAGCAAGCATGACGTTGCTTCGCCGAGTCTGAGAACCCACTTGCTGTAGGTTTTCCTCAAGTGCAAGCGTTACAGTAATCCAGTCTTCAAAAACGCGACAAAAGAGAGGGATTTGTCGCCACGGCCAATGTCCTGCCCCAGTTGTTAACCCACCCCTTTTCACGTTCAGCCAAGCTTCATTAATAATGATACTGGTGTGAAAATCCAACCTGGTAATTGACCCGTGTCTGCTCGACTCCAACAAATCCGTGAAGTGGAAGTGACTGGTAGAAGAGAAGTACTGCTAGTCCAGGTTTGGTGGCGAGCGGATATACTAGTTTTGGAGACTGTTCTTGAAAATCAGCAAAGGCTGAGCTGCGTCTGACAATGGCGAGACCTCTTTAGAGTCGCAAAATACTTCGATATAGTATGAAGTTGTCCATAGTTGGCAAAGTTCAGGATTATGCAGGGCTTGCCACGGGCCAATTTCGTTCAACTTACCCCAAGTCGAGCGTATCTAAGCCGCCCACCAGGGTATATACTACGCAATCCTTTGTCCTTGGATATAGCTCAACTACGAAATGATCAAAAACTAACTTCCTTCCAAACCTTGCCTTGATACTTCCTACAGTCAATTCTATGACTATGAAAGAGGTGAATGAGTCGACTTGGCATCTCTGTAGTACAAACAGTGCAACAAGCTGGACTGAAGATGATAAAAGTAAAAAGTTGAAACATTGTTTCGAATCCGCAGATTGCTTTGCAAACTTTTAGTTTATCGACTTGCTAGAGGCGAGGCCACAGGCGAGGTTTACTGAAGAAAACCACATTGTAAGCGAGACTCGTAGCATGCCATAATCCCTTAAAAACCTTGGATGAGCCCATGTGAGGCGGGTATTGATACAGACTGAATTCCCGAAGGAAGTCTCGTCTAGGGGGCAGTAGCCGTGGCGGATACTTTGCTTCTCATCTTGATAGGCCTGCATGACCTGCTATAGCAAGAGTAGCCAATCAAACTTAATTGTACAGTGCTACCTATATCGAATCTAGGGGGGCTGTTCCGAGGCAAAAGAGCCTAGTTGGGACGTATAATAGGCTAAGCTGTACAGTCGAGAACCTGGGAACTCAAAGTGGGAGTTGTCAAAACTCCGTCTTCACTGCATTTTCAACACGCTCAAAGGCTCCACAACGAATCAAGCCGAACCAAGCCTTGGATGAGGGTAGGACCGGACTCTCCGACTCTCCAGTTGCCTGTTGCCACTGCATTATTGACTCACGCCGAGAACTCAAGAGGTTGACGCTGATAGGCTCACCATCATGACCGAGGCCCACTCCGATTTTACCGCTCTTGCAGACAGCCCTACGGTTTTTCACTGCAACTTTAACCCATCTCGAGGTCAGAAGACGAAGACTTCCTAGGACCCGAGCCGGGCTGGCTCATCCGCAACCTTGTCCCATTCGGAGTGCCCCACACTACTGCAGCCACTCTTTTACAGAGACTCGAGCCAGACCTGTGCGATGACCTAGATGAAGGCGATGGTGATAATATCAAGCGTACCGTTGTTGATGTCCAGCAGGAGGAAGCAAGGCACATGCGACTGGCCACCCGCAAATCGATTTTATCATCTTTGCCTTGAAGCGTTCAAGATGAGTTTTGTTCGAGCAAAGGTGAAGGCACCAATCCAGGTCTTGCACGACACCTGCATTTTTCCACTTCTGGATTATCGGTGTCTTCGCCACAGCGGGCGGGCGCTGGGGTGGGAATAAGCCCAATCAATGGCCTGCAGTGCACCTGCCGTGTACACCGAGTACACCGGTGCATTCTTTCACTGCAATTTTAAACCCCCCCCCCCAAACGACCTGGAAGTATGTTCTCAACCGGCAAACCGTGGCCTACGCGATACGACATGCAAGAGCCGCCTCAGAGTGCCGCCTGGGCTCAGCTCCGACCTTTCCATTATCCCAAGCAACAACGACGGCACTGCCATGTCTTCATCGCCCACGAACCCGCGCTTGCTAATTGTGGAGGGAGGGATAGCACTCACATGTCAAATCGAGAGGAGGCATTTGTGGTCGTGGACGGTATGACGGGGCCACCTCCCATGCGGCCGTAAAGGAGGCCAGCAGGGACTTTCAGAATCGCTGCCAATACGGAGGTGAGGCTCTGCTGGATGTATGAGGGCCTTGAACGTCGCCGGATCTTCACTGCAACTTTAACCTCCCCAAGGCCCCAAAGCCGCGCGTAAGCGACAGCTGACACATCCTTGCAGCATCGTCGCCTCTACGGCTTCACAACGGCAGTCCGTCTGTCCCGAAGAAAGTCATATATGCCAACACCTCGTCACCGACGAAGCCGATGCCAAGATTACACAGCCAGCGTCCACAGCCGCATCGGACGCTACCGTGACCAGGAGCAGCATATCATATGACTCTCACCCACATATTAGCCGGGCACGCATACCGTACAGACCGCAGGTTGATTCAACACGTCTTGATTCTCTCCCTCCCGAAAAAGTATCATGTACAAACGCCGGCGTCTCGCCGGCTCTTCTTTTCCCCAATCCTCTTCTCCACCCCGTACATCCCCCAGTAGCTTCTCCAGCGCGTTCGAGGGTTAAATCTAGTTTTTGGTCTGCGGCGCAACGGCGAAAGTGGGACGGACGAATCTGCGACACCCCCGTCAGCCATGCTTCTCCCCCCGGGACACGTTCCCCGCCGACGCCGTCCGCAGACAACGGGACGGCGGTCGCGGAAACCGGGGAGTCGACGTACCTGTCAGAGTGGTAGACCTTGGTGTTCTCGCCCAGCAGCTCCTTCTCTCTCGCCTGGTCGGCGTACCACCTGCGGACCTGGTCGCGGTCCTCCTCGGCCTGCAGGAGGGGGATGAGGTGGATGCGCGCCCACATCTTCTCGCGCGCGAGCTCGCTACGGTTCGTCAGCACGTGTTCCCGGCTCTGCCTCTCCATCACTGCTCGATCTTGTCTTGCTCTCGTCTTTTCCGCTGCCGCGAGCTCCCGAAGAGTCTTGATATGTGCTCCTCGCGTCCGAGAATTCCACTGTATCTCGACAACCAGACCTCGCGGCGCCGTCAAAGGCCTCCCGCATAAACATCATAGGCATCGTGAGCGAGGGTCAAACGTACTTGGCTTCCCGGATACCCTTGATCAAGTGGTACCATCCGTATCCCATCACCAGTCCCATTCCGATCAGCATCGTACCGGGGCGGAATCCACGGGCGGGCAGGTTGCGCTGTTTTCCCAACGTGATTAGCATAGTCCCATCCAAAGTCCTCGTCGTTTCCGTCTCCGTGGTCCGGCCGTGTGGCTCCCCCTTCCCCGAGGCCGTCTCTCGCCCCAGTCCCCCCAACATCCTCAACCGCAGGGCCATTCGCACGGTCTACGAAGCCAGCCCATCGAGAAAAACCACTTCAATGCCTCTTCCTCCTCTTCCTCCTCTTCCGGCGCATCGCCATGTTCGCTCCCACGCACCCGAAGCTCTCCAGCCCCTCAACCCCCCTCTTGCGGCACCCCTCTCTCCCCTGCGATTCCTCCCGTCTGCCACCGACAAGGCAAAAAAACCAACTCACCTTGTACTGCACAGCCTGGTATCCCCCCACGGGCGGCATATCCTGAGGCATCCTGTCTCAATCGTTCCTACCGACCCCAACGCGGTCGGCTGCGCTCGATTTGTGAGGGTGGTTTGTGTGCTTCGTGCTGTCGTCAATCGCTCCGTCGGGCGATGGTTTCCGAGGTCCAATTGAGCAGGGTTTTCCGCGTTTTCGTTCGGGCGGTTCGACGGCAAGAGGCGGGTTGCAATCGTGCGATGCTTGTGGTCGTCGACTGTCGTCGAGCTCTCGAGGATTCAAGCTTTGGGAGACCCGGCAAGATGTGCCTGAGGTGATTGTTTTCGGGTCGACGGTGATTCGCTCAATTGGCCAATCGCTTATGTAAGGGAGCACCCACAGATCCACTCTGGCCGAGCACACCGAAACACACCGAACACACCGAGCCCGACGACGGTGAAGAGCTCACCACTACATGCAAGTCGCAAGGTTCACAGGAACAGGAAAAGATTGAAATCGCGTGAAATGAATTCATTATGCTCGGCTCGACCAAGTGTCCAACCCGGCATCTTGTCGTCTAGTTCGCCATCCCAAATAACCAAAAAAATACTCGACGTGAATCCTACAAATATTTGCACATCTCAACTCCATGCCATGCGTCGCCAACGGAAAGGCTGGGTATAAACCGAACAAACCATAGCCAACCAACTTTTCCTCCACCACAGCGAACCGCCCGCGAGAATCCCGTTCGCCCAGCGCGGTATATGCATCCGAGTCGACGGCGGCTCTTCAGTCCCGGGAAGTATCACTAGTCGTCTCCGGCAGCCGCCAGCTCGGCCTCGAGGTCGGCCTCAAGGTCGTCCTCGTCAAAGTCGTCGCCCCCGTCCACCGCACCGCCGTCGGGCACGAGCGAGACGTCCTCCTCGTCGCCCGTGACTTGAGGGGTGGGCAGGCTGCTCGATTCGTTGTCTTCGGCGTTGGGTGTCCTGACGGAGCTCAGCTTGGAGGCCCCGCGACTCTTGGCCACGCGTTGCTTCTTGGAGAGGGCGCTTCCACCTTCGTCGGAAGCCGTGTCGTCGTCCGCTGCCTTTCTCTTGGTGCCGCCACCGGCGAACGAGTTCGCCGAGTCTTGAGACGATGGCGGCGGCTCGTCGCCGGCCTCGGTGTCGCCGCTGTGACTCTCCGTGTCGGCATCCGAACTATCGTCGTCGCTGCCGAGGAACTCCTTCATCTCGTCGTCCACGCCCTCCCAGTCGAATGTTTTAAGGTCGTCAATCGGGCTGGTCTGGCCGTCCTCAAAGTCTGGCATCAGGTTGTCGTCATCCCCGTCTTGGTCGCCGTCGTCTTCATCCGAGGCGTCCTCGTCTTCCTCGAGGATACGGTGCTCGCCCGTCTCGTCAATGATGGTCAGGTGCGGCCTCGACAGATCATCGCCGTCGACGTCGGAGACCGTGTCGGCGTCCGTGGTCTCGGAAGCGGCATGATGGCGTCGGTCCGCCGGGTGGACCTCTACCAGGTAGGGCGTCTCGTCAACGTGCTGCCATTGACTCAGGCAGTCCGACAGCCAGTTCTGGCTGACAATCTTGATGCTGGGGATCTTGGCCGCCTGCCTGACCTTTTGCGTCCGTGGCCGTGACGTGGATATGACGAGATGTGTGACCTTCTTCGACACCCTGGTGGATATTTGAGCACCAAAACTCATGGCCTGGATGCCGATCTCGGACTGCAGCACGTCCACGCCGAGGGGAACGAGGCCGGACAGCACAATGGTGGTGCCTTGGAGAGTCGAGGCCTTCATCGTGTCGAGGACATAGCCGACGTCGGGGACCGCGGCGAGGTCGATGTTCTCGTCGCCGGGCTTTTTGCGCGGAGCCGAGTGCGCCGGCGCAGCAGCGCGCTTCTCATCGTACTCCTCGTAGAACTTCTGGTGCAGCTCGGTAAGATGCTGCTGTAGGTAAATCAACTCCGCATCGTCGTCGCGGAGGACCTGGGATCGGTGTTGTACTGTCATGATGTGCGGGCCGTCTTCGGCGTCCTGTGTAGCCTTTTCCTTCTGCTCGTCTTGCTTGTCCAGCTCCTCCTGCATGTGGAGAAGGGGCCTCTCCTTGATCTGCTGCTCCAGCAGCTTCTCCTGCTCTCCGGTCTGCGCCGCCTGGAGCACCTTGTCGTCGCCGCTGCTCATCTTGACGAGCTCGTCCAGGGCCGACACCTTGCCGTTGGGCTGTGTTTCCTCTGGTTTCGTCTCGACGGGTTTGGGCGCTTCCGGTGCAGGCTTCGCTTCTGGTTCGGGTGGCGCGGGCAGGATGTCTTGCCTCTTGGGGAGGAAACTCGAGTTGATGTCGCCGATGCCCTTGAAGAAGTCGTACGGCACAACCTTGATGAGGTTGGGCCGGTTGTTCGGCCAGACGTCGGCTCGGTCGTCGATGATGACGACCATGTTGGTGTTGACGGGGAACAGGCGCTGGAGACTCTTGGAAATCATGCTGCCGTTCTCGTCGCGGCTGATGACGCGGTTGCCGAACAGCTTCTGCTGGGGATCGACGATTTTGGCAATGTTGAGGGCGTAGGCGCGTGTTCCCATGGTGTAGACGTGGAGCTCGTACAGCTCGGCGACCTTTTCGAGGAACTCGGCGAGGCCGGGGCGCATCTTGATGTAGTACCAGCATCCCGAGGTGACCATGCCCCTGGGGCCCTCGTCGTTGAGCTGGAACCTCTTGACGTCCTTGACAGCCTCGTAGTTTGGATTTGATGGATCCTCCATCCACTCGCCGACGGTGGGCTCGATGCAGGCGTGGATGATGGTCTGGTCGAGATCGACAACGAGGCTCAGCTTGCGCTGGCGCAGGAGACGCTTCTGGGTTTCGTGTTCGGCGCGGGCGGCCAGGTCGCCACTGACCATGAGGCCGGTCTGGTCGTGGGTCATGTTAATGGTGGCGCGCTGGGTATCGCGCTGGTCGCTGGCCCAGTTGACCTCGGTCATGTCCTTGCCGCAGATGGCGCATAGGCCCTGGAACTGGATCTCGTGGGAGCAGGCCTCCTCGACCAGCATGCAGGGCGCGTCGCGTGCGATGGTCATGCCCTCCTTGAGGCGCCATTCCTTGAGGGTACCCTCGGCGGGACTATCCCAGCCAGCGATGGTCGTCACCTCCTCCTGCCAGGTTTCGCCGGCGATGGGGTCGCCGAACTCGCGCATGGACTTGTACGAGTATTCGAGGATGCTCTCCTGCTTCTTGATGGTGTCGCCGGGGCTCTTGAGTAGTTTTGTAACAGTGATCGGGTAGCGCAGCCTTGCGCCGAGCGAGAGTAGCTTGCCCATGATGACGGCAGGCTACTCGAGGGGACTGTCTAAAAGTCTGCAACAGCGACACGCAAAGGTCAGCCTCGTGAGCTTTGACGCGTGCGCGCACACGCGCAGAGGGCACGCGTGCAGGACAAACATAGGATGCAAGGGGGTGGTTGAGCCGAAAGACACGACGGCGGCAGTAGGCACGACGACGACGACGACGACGACGACGACGACGACGACGACGACGACTTCAATGACGTATCGACAGTGGGAGGGGGAAGGGAGAAGATGCGACGAACCTAGTGAGACTCCCCCAGTAACAATCAGAGAAGGTGCCGGTGCGGTCGCCAATCCCATTGCCCCGAAGCTACTGGGATGAAAGGGGGACAGGGACGCAACAGAAGAGGAAGCTCTGGAGCGTTACGATGAGTGGCGTCGAGATGGGATGCGTGGAGCGTTGCGAATGGGGGAAAGCAAGCGTTGGGTCGACGATGCGGATGGAAGAAGAAACGAGCGGGAATCTGACACGGGCAGAAAGTGTGGTATCCGCAGGTGCCTTCTCAAGCGCAATTGACTTTTGGTGACGTGATGCAAATTGGACGGAAAGGCTGGAATCCCAGATACAAAAAACAAAACAAAAAAAGACACAAAGCGAGAGCCTTGCGTGTTTATTGATCGGGTGGCGCGTCGGGGCGGTTGGAGGGGCGGAGTGAGGGCTGCTGGTCTGATGCGATGTGCAAGTCGTTGGTTGGGTTTGCGGCTCTCGGGCGGGTTGAAGGTCCAAGTCGCTTGGGGTTTAGGGGAGAGGAGGTTTTGGAGCTCGGGGGTTTCTGGTGGAGAGGGAGGACGACAGGTCTGGGCCGAACCGTGACGCACACCGCGAACGGAAAGGGCAGGTGAGGCAAGGTGAGGTCCGGCAACGAAACGAGGAGCCAACGGGGGAAACCCAGGCGAAGGCGGAGTGGGGTCGGATGCTTCGGGCGCACAGGCCAAGCGAAAGCTCCGGGTGGGTCGAGGTTTCGGATTTGTATTGTTCCGGTAGTCTGGGTGGAGTACCGTGAGGTGAGGAGGTGAAGGCAGGTGGTGTGCTCGAGCCAAGTCGCGCCCCGTCGCAGTTGGAGTCCCGTCTGGGGTGGGGTACGATGTGCGGAGAGGCGACTAAGGTAGGTAGGTTGGATGGTAGGTAGGTAGCTGTGCAAGTATCTCGTGCGGCTCGGCGAGGTACCCTTGGTGTCTTCAGCAGTCCGTCGCTTTTTGCCACGAGGCTGCGGGATGATGCGAGATCAATGTCGAGAGGGGGAGGGTTGTGAAACCGAGGCGAGATGCAAGATGATGGTCGAGTGGTCTGTGGCCCTTGCGTAGGATTATTTCGTGTAAGTCGACGTTGTTGCGTGTCTGAGCTGTGGTGTGGATTGTCTTCGTGATGCGATGCGATGCGATGTGCGCTGGCTGGCGGCTACAAGCAACAATTACAAGAAGAGAAATTAAAAAAAGACAAGTTAGGGTACAGGCTCCGGGCTCTCGAGGTACAAGTTGGTCCAGTTAGCGGCGGCGCTGGCAAAGAGAGAGGGGGCAAAAGGCGACTTTTTTTTTCGTTTTTGGTGTCCGTCAACCACTATCAGCGTGCCACCCCCCTTCTGAAAGAGTGGGATGCGATGGCCTATTTGTACCTGCCGTAACACGCTCCATTCTACCTTGCCTCTGCCAACGCCGTACCCGCCTCCATCACCTCCCCTCCCTCCCCTCCCCTTCACCCCGTCTTCGCGCTTTTCTCCTCCCTGGTGGCACCAGCCGACAGCCAAGTGGCCGGGTGGTGATCCCTGCTCTGCTCTGCTCTGCCTTTCCTTTTCTTTTCCTTTCCACCCTTGTCATCCGTTCCCCCAAACTCCATCCGCACCCTCGTATGCCTTTCCTCCCGTTCCTGTGCTGTGCCTGTCTTGCGTCCTCAACGTGCGTGCGTGGGCGTCTCGTCTCCTTTTCTCCACAACGGCTGCAGCAGCCGTGAACACACACACACGCACGCCCGAGATCCATCTCCAACTTTTTCTCCCCCAGCCAGTCACAACCGCACGCCCTCTACATTGTGTGTGAATATCAAGCTGCCGCCGAAAGATGCTTCTTGTACCGAACATGACTCACGCGGGTGCTGTGTCAAGATGCAGCAGGGACTCATACTGACTGTCACTCCGTCGGCATCAAGAAAGGCATCAAAGTCCAAACCACGGTTACCAACAATCACATTAGGCCCATAACAACCATTCACAAAGCACATACTGCCATGTTCCTATCCCCTCCATCACGCGCCAAGGTAAGGTCTCTAGGTATGTGGACAAGCTCCACCGGGGCTGCCTTTACCTGGGTGGCCAGGCCAAAGTACAAAAAAACTGTCAGCCAACTTTCATCGGGTTGGCGGCCACATCGTCCACCCAGGTAGCTGCAGTGACATTCTACGTGCGTTCCGAGTCTTTGGCATCAAGTCTCATTATCTCAATGGCCCAGTTGGCATCCAACATCGTACACTCGTGGCCATCACCCACATATCCTACAGCTGCCCTCCCGGCCGTCCGGCTCAAAATGTCATCATAATCGAGTATTAATGTCTCCTCTATCCATGGGTAACCCGTGGCTTTATTCCGTGTCCCTAGAGCCCCTCTGGTCACGCCACGACCCCCGCCACCCGGTCGTCGAGTTCCGTTCCCCCGTCTCAACCACCCCCGACTCCGACCCAGATGAAGAAGAGAAAAAAGCAATCCCTTCCCTACATCGTCTATACCGTGAAAACGCCGTCCACCCAATGTTCCGTTCGTTCGTTCAGTCCAGTAAAGTCCCCAAGTCCGCAAAGCGATCCCAATCCGGGCCCAGGTCATCCACCTCGGATGCCGGCTTCGGACCCGAGTCGCGTCTCGTGCTGTCCTCCAGCGCCCCCCCGTGCAGCTGCTGGTCAGCATCCTACACGACCTGCTGCGAGGCCGAGGGCGACACGCGAATCACTCTGTTGCCGAGAGGCTTGTGTTCCGGCAAGCCGGAGAGCGCGCCCATCTCTGACAGTTTCTTGGTCGTCATGTCTGGGTCGGGCTCGTCGTTTCCTATAAAGGTCCAGCTCTCCTCGGCTTCCTCGTCTTCGTCTTCTTCGGCATGCGCGTGTTTGCCGGCCTTTCTCTTGATCAAGCTCGTGGCGTACTCCATGTCGCGGTAGATGCACTGGATGGCGTTCGCCACACCGTGTTCCTATCGTGTGTTAGCGTGACGGGATCTGGATCGTCTTCTTCAAGGGGTTGGACCTACACTGCGAATCTGCTCACCGAGCACGCGGGCCTTGACTATCATGCGGTCGTTGTGCGTAGCTTCCCAGAGGGCGCGTGCGAAAGAAACTGCTCCCCACTTCTTCAGGCAGATGCCAACACCAATATCCTCTACACGAGCACCAAAGAAGAACTGGTCGCCAAAGAATGGTCGGATGATGGTGGGTATACCGGCCCGCAAGCTGGCGCCCGTCGTGCCGGATCCGCCGTGGTGGGCGGCGGCGTCAATCTGCGAGAACAGCCAGTCGTGGGGCGCGCTCTTGATGACGAAAATCTCGGGCGGCATGACCGGCTCGTCCTTCTTCGGGCTCGCCGCGGCGTCGCCTTGCTTGGCTACACGGTCCGACCAGCCCTTGGAGAGGATACAACGGACATCTGCCTTGAGAACGGCATCAATCACCTCTTGGGTCATCTTAGCCGTGTCGTTGACGATGATGGAGCCGAACCCCACGTAGACAAGCTTCTTCTCGTCTGCCCTCGCCTTGGCGATGAAGTCGGTGAGTTCCTTGGGCGGCTGGAAGTCCGACCCCTCGTCCAGGAACCAGTATCCGGTGACGCGGATCCAGTCCGAAAAGTCCAAAGGCGGCGCGACGACGTACTCGGAGAAGTTGTAGAGGAACGGGACCTTGTTTGGCTGCATCTTCTCGAGGCTGGTGTTGGGCAGCTTGAGGGTGTTGTTGCGCCAGCGGTTGACCTGATGGGCAGTGGCCTTCCAGAAAATGTTGTCAAACATGACATACGTCATGTAGTTGTACGCACCACCCATCTTGTATTCGGGCATAACGAATGCATGAGGGTAGGCCCTGGTCCGGGTCCAAGGCATGGTGAAGGCTCTGAAGTAGGGGATCGAGAGCTTCTCGGCAATGTGAATGCCAGCCATGGCACTGGGGCTCTCGATGAGAAGATCGGAGCCCTGGCAAGCCTCCCATGCTGAGACCAGCAACTCATCCAGCCAGCCGCGGAACATGGAATTCGCCTCCCGCAAAAAGGCCCAGGTGAAGGTGCCGTTCTCGATGCAGAGCCTCATGAGCTCACCAGGGTCACCGTCGACCTTGGCAAACTCAATGCCATGGCCTCAATCCAGTCTTTGAACTCGGCATGGGTAGCGATACGCGGTTTATGTCCCTCTGCGATGAGGCCCTTGCACAGAGCAATGTAGGGCTGGACGTCGCCCCTGGAGCCAATGGTCAGGCAAGTGATCTTCATCGCATGTGGTGGCTTGAAATTGAGGAAGGAGGCCTTGGGGTCGTCGAACAGAATCGTCGGGGCATCGGTGACGCCTGAGCTATCCTTCGGCAGACGCAGCTCGTGGTCGTGGAATTCTTCGACCTGGCGCGCCTCCTTCAACGCGTCGCGCTCGGCTATGGCGTTCTCCTCTTCCTCCTTCTGTTCCATGTCCAGGTCTCCCGTTTCCTTCAGGTAGCGGGTCGTCTCCAAGCTCTGCAGTAACGTGACAGCGCAATCGTCTCTGATTTCAGCCTGGCCGAACTCGAAAAACACCTCCTCGTGGCCTCGAATGACAACCACCAAGCCGGAGTAGCCGAACCGGAAACCCTTCTCCTTGTCCACGTTCTCAATGTCTTTCAGGGGAAGGATGAGCTTCGTCCTCGTCCCTGGCAACAAGCTTCGGAAGCAGAACGACTTGTCGCTAATGTAGATCTTGCCGTACAATGGCAGAACACGCAGGATGTAGCCGAAGTAGGTCGCTTGAAGCTTCTCCGTCTCGGG